TTGGGACTCGTATGACGCGTTGCAGGAGGGCTTGTACGCTGTGTGCGACTATATTCATAAACCTGCATTACGCGGCAGACGGCAAGGAAAACTGCAATGTAGGATAATGAATGCCCCTTTAAAATAGTCCACTAGCTGGCTAAGTAAATAAAAAAAATAGTTGGAGATAGATTTATTTACGTAATAAATAAAATTCATTTCAAGTTTCCGTTTTTTCCACATTTATTTTTCTTATTTCGACGTAGCTGAACAGACATTGGTATATAAAATTACATCGCTTATTTACAAGGAGACATATAGAAAATGATCACAGAAGTAAGTTTCCTTGCATAGTTGGTACCGGATAGGGCACGCCTATTATATTGACTAAAGAAGTATTCAAGGACTTTCTAATCCTTTGTATCTTCTAACTTGCTGAAGTTGAAAATCATTTAAATAAATATTTACGTAGAATTTTTAAACTAAAAATTTCAACTTAAAAGTAGACTTAGCTGGTAAATATTATTATTATTTAGATACTAATCGGGTAGTAAATAAGCGCTACTTATTAATAACGTAAGTAACAAGAAAATTGCACATTTTTTTCAGTTCTTCAGGCGGAATCACTAAAACCTTTATTGACATTTAAACGAATTAATTGAAGCAGTCGTAGCCTAGTTTTAAGACTGCTTGCCTCCTGCACGCGTCGAACAAGCGAGAGTTGCCCTACTTATTATACAGTGCTAGTACTTACTAGTACGAGCTAATGCTCAAAACACAAATTATAGCAACTTTGGATAGTCCAATTTTAATGCTCCCCTGTAAACTTGGCAATTTCGACATACGATCCTTTACGTCGGAGGGGGTCGATGTCATCTCTCTTTATACAGGGTGACAGGTTGAACAAGATAAATATTTGAAGAGGCAAATGAGTAGCCGATTTTTATTCCGAATATATACAAAAATCGCCTCTAAAATCATAGGAAAAAAAATATCGTGCTATTTTACAAATACTGACAGGACATACAAAATTGAGTCCTAACATCATGTGTAGAATGATTCTCGCCGACTAAGGAACATTTCTCGGTACAGGTTCCTACCACGACTAACAACATAATTGCCATAACATACCATAACGTAACACCGCATCGTGTCCCTTATTGTTCCTTATTTGTGTAGTGATATGGCATCGTTATGAACGTCACTGCACTCCACTGAACTACAAAGGCGACACAGGTGAATACACCGATATATCACGTAAAACAAATACGCGACGACGACGTCCCACCTAAGCGTGCGCAGAGGCCGGTAAGTTTGATTTGACCTTGCAGAACACTTGCTACATGTTCGATTGACGCGGTGTCTCATGCAGAGTATTACAAAACGTTAGAGGCAGTCTTTTCCTTTCAGAAAAATATTTAAAAATAAGACAGTGTTTTTATTTTACATATTCGATATGGATATCAGCTATTCATTCGCGTCTTTATATTATTTATCTTGTTCACCCTGTATAAACAATTTTTATAATAAAGAAAGTAAAACGAAGCTACCATTCTCATTGTGATGTAAGTATCTAATGTATGTAGAAAAAAGTAATTAGAAGCAAAAGACAACGTGTGATGAAAGACATCGTGTACACTCATGTATACAAGTTTGAAAGTGTCTTCAGTATATATTTTCAGTATTAATTTTAACGTACAATAGAATATGTAATATTGCGATATTGCATATAACGATTTAAAACAAACATTTCTTAATACGAAGTTTTTTTTGTCAGATGGTCACACAAGAGATATCCCAAAACTTTTTGTTTCACGCTAAGGTATATTATGTAACCAACCGCCAAGCAGGAGATCCGCTAAAGATGTGATGTATCATCTACCACAATCAAACAGAACATAATGAAATGTAAAATTGCATGTTATTAAAAACTCTAGTTACTAAATTTAAACATTATTTCGTTTTGTGTTTTGAAAACCCAGACGCGGATCTGCAGCGTAGTGTGTGTTAAGCTTAAAATATAATAATTAGTCAGTCTTTGAAGACGCTGAAGCTCCTCCCAATTGAAATATTTTTAGGATTGCACTATACTGGGTCCCAGTCTGCCAATTTCTCTAAAATCACTGGTCAATTCATTTTTCAATTTCATCGAGATTCCACTAAGATTATAACGTCTGCTTAAAGGTAAAACCACATAAATTACATTTTCCACAAAAAATCTCCATTTGTAAGAAATTCACCATCTTTCTGCAGATAAAACTCTTATCAAGCTTTTTTGTTATTGAGCTTCACGTCCAGAAATATAGTGATTTTCTTATCATAACTATATAGACTTTTTGTGGAAAATGTCACTTATGTGGTTTTACCTTTGAACAGACGATATTGCAATTATGACAATATTTGTTTATTCTGCTAGAATATTTTTTTTTCAATAACGCACACACTCAACATAGCCCCGCACTAGGGAAACTCTGTATCGCGGGTGCCATGGATACACACATAGACAACCACAAATTACACTCAAACTCACAGGAGAAGTAAATGTTGGCCATACAAATATTTCTCCCGGCCCGGGAATCGAACGTGGGATCTCTGCGTGGCAGTTCGGTAGGGTAACCGTTCGGCCACGGAGGCAGTTAAATCTCAATAGAGTGTCAGTGGAATGGTATTCATTCATTCAATCACTAACGATTGATAATATAGATTACGCCATTGACTCGCCATTGAAAAAATATTATTCAATATTAAAAAATTGCAATGACAGTTGATGGCAGTAGCTCGATGGCTAGCTACTGACAAGCCACTACTCGTTAACTTTTAGTAGAATGTCAAACGTAAGACAATTCAGCCGTTAGCACTCTATCGACACTATTGATATGATTTAAAATTAGCAGACGTGGGGTCCAGATCAGAAGAAATTACAGCGCGTCACAAGGAACTATCCCATTTTTGTATGCACATATGTTTAATTCGCAAAATGAGAACATTTTTATTCACTCACTTGTTAGATCGACAACAAAATCCAGATTTTTATCACACTGACGTGCGACAAACTTTTCCCGATGACATAAAATATAAACTGATAAAAAAATATCCTTCCTTTCCTTTCCTTCCTTTCCTTTAATTTATGGGCAAGGATTCTAATTTTAAAGCAATGCCTGTATCTTCATATTATCTCCTACATAAGCACTGTGATAAATTGAAAGTGTGAATTTGGAGGGGACATCAAGACGTGTGATATAATCTATTGATAAACTACAAAATGAGGGTATAAAGGTTGAATCCCACAAGTTGGCATGCATCAGCACCTCGACCATAATAAGTGTGGGTTTTTATTTGTCATATTTTTTATTGACTGTCAACATTAATCAACAACAAGCTTGCAGACTATTATATACTCTATATAAAATAGCTGTTTATTTAAACTTGTTGTGATAGATTTAGTTTTGTTTGTTGTTACTTTTAAAGCATTAATGTAACGGACATAAAACCTATACAGGGGATCGGAGGCACAATTTCATTACCTGTTTCTATCTTTTTTCTCAATAAAGTTACTGTTTATATTTATGATATCTATTTTAGATTGTCGTCTCTCCGATAGCCTAAAAAACTAATTTTTAAAGGGAGTGGCGGTATTCCCAGTGTTTCAGGCTCAAGTACTGGCGAACAACACGTGCCGTATCGAGCAGGACGCTGTCTGCTCCTGAAGGCCACAGACGTGGTGCTAATGCGCGCTTAACAAGTGGGGACCAACCCTTAGTGAACAGTGAAATGTATCAACCACAAATCAAAGTTTAAAAAATATAAACCAAATAACTTAATAAAAAATAGAATCTAAAATCTTATTATACCCATCAAGGTGAATTGTTACCTATTCATAAAAATTTAAAACATATTATTATTCTCCGTTAAAAATTATTGAAAAATTATACTTTTACCATTGTATGCGGATCAATTCCAAATAACAGATGGCCTGAATACATATAAATTTTAAAAGTTGGTCAACATTCAACAAAATCTATCACACTTAGAGGGATGTCTATGCACTTTTTTACTAACCACACTTGACGGATCTTAGTCTGTTGCTCTGGAGACGATATTCGACCAAAAATGTAGAATTAAGTGCTGTTGTCTATACAACTAGAGCAATTAAAAAAAAGTGAGAAGTACAAATTTCAAAGTCTCCTATATCGGAGAGTACAGATGGATAGGAGAGAGAGCTGGTGCCCAACGGAATGTCTTATAGGACGATAAGAGTCAACTGCCTTACACCAACCTGGCTAAAAATTGGCATGCGCGAAGCTCTAGATCTTTTACACTTGTAAAATGAAAAAAAAAAGTGTCGTAAGGGACATTTTGTAGTACCGGAAAATGTCCCTTACGACATTGCATATTTTAACTATATATATAACTTCACTAAAATATTTGATAGTTAACACAAAACTCTTTGAAATTTGTAACTTGTACATGCACAAATTTTTCTAAATGCTACATAAAAGGTCCCAGTCTAAAGTTATTTCCCGATCAAATCAGATAATGTCTCAAAATCAAAGTATATTATCTAGAATTCATCTAGTTCACCTATTTATCTTTTCGACAACCGATCCATAAAATTTTAGACTATTTAAACATTTGTTAAGTAAAAATGATGATAAAAGTATCTTACATATTATTTCTTTATTTCTTGACAGCGACTTTAGGGTTTTCAATTGTATTAGTTACTTAAACGAGTTTGGCAAATGTTTAACAGTTCGGAAAGCGCTGAAAACTTTGTGAATGCTTCTTGCAACATGTTCCTGAAAAACAAAAAATAAATGGTTAATTCATTAACATAATTGATATCGCAAAAGGAAACAACGGGACAGAAACATACGCCACAACCATAATTGTATAGATTTAAGACCTCATATCCCACAGCTGGCAACGCAAAAGACTTTGCTTATTATCATCTGTCTCTAACATCACAGATGCCACGTTTACTGCGCCACGGTCTCATTTCTTAGCATTCACACTTTACTTTCATGCTTTTTACTATATATAGATACTTTCGAGTAGAAAAAATATAAGGCCAAACTACAAAGTTTACAAAATCAGTGCAAATTTTAATTTATAAGTGGTGGCATTGATTCATATCTTATAAAAGAAAAGGTAATTTTATTGAATAACAAAGCTTTCAATAAAATTACCTTTATAAAGTATATTTTTTATAAAGAATATTATTATAAAGTATATAGATAAAGTAAGAAATTGTAACCTAGCTGCACCCACAAATTGTCAATAATTTAACTTTATTTAAATTAACATGCTTTGTAGGTTATTAATTTAATGCTTAATGTGCTTTTTGAAATCATGGAACAACGTATGTGTACAAGCCAAGTCGTCTATCGCTATAACAGCATACCTGCAATTGAGACAAAATATCCTCATGTTGTCTTTGTTCACACTTATACTGCCCTTATTGATAACACTCAAGCTCTCTTTGAATACTTCCGCTAATTTTGGTATTTCTTCTTCTATGCTATCCGTGTTTTCTAACAATCTGTAAATAAACATTGTAAACATACGTCCAGATTGGAACCTAAATTGTATATTGAAAAACAGATCTAAACAGGCCTGTTTTTTAAAGGCTCGCGAGCTGTAACGTAATGCACGTGATTACGTTGCAGCTCGCGAGTCTTTACAAACAGCAGGAATACGTATTTAATTTCACACATGCAGCACGCGTGTAACGCTTCTTGCTCGTTGTTCTCAGGGTTTATTTTACCTATAAAATAAATGTTCATTTGACGTGACATTCGGAAACCTGGGATCATTTTGACAGTGATTATTCCGGGGCCTAGGATAATTTTTCTTCTAATTAAAGAAACTCACCCCTTCATTGCCGAAGTTAGCGCGCGAATTTGACAACAGAACACGGACCATTTGCTCATAAGTACATGTAAAGGATCATTGCCAGGTAGCTTGTCTTCTAATGTATGAGAAATGCCTAATGCTGATGCTAGTTTTGCGCTGAAATAACAGAAAGGTTTCCCTAAGTTAGGATAAAAATAATATAATGAAAATTTGCAATAGTTGGAAGAACATAACAGCGTGATAGGAGACCAGCGGTTTCTCAACTGCAAGGTGAATACTTCGAATCAGGGTTGTTGCTGAAGCAGGTTGTTTACACATCAGCAGATGCTGATTTTGCGTATTTAAAAAAAAGACGCGAAAAATGTAACTCTTACTGAATATCATCATCATCATCATCGCCTATCGCAGTCCACTGCTGGACATAGGCCTCCCCCAATGTGCGCCGATTTCGCCCGGTCCTCAGCTTGTCGCACCCATTTTCCGCCAGCAAACATTCGCAGGTCATTACTCCACCTGGCCGGAGGGCGTCCTATACTACGTTTGCCGAGTCACGGTCTCCACTCCAGAACTCGTTTTCCCCATTGGTTATCGGTTCTTCGATAGATATGGCCAGCCCACTGCAACTTCAGCTTGCTTATTGCACGAGCTATGTCGGTGACCTTGGGTCTATGTCGGATAACCTCATTACGAATTTTAGGAGAAACTCCATAGCTCGCTGAGCGATTTTAAATTGGTGGACTAGACGTATCGTGAGTGTCCACGTCTCGGCTCCGTAAACCATAACAGGCAGGACGCACTGGTTGAAAACCTTTGTTTTCTGATTTTGTGGTATAGATGAGGAGAAGACTCGACGTAGCTATTTAAACGCTGCCCATCCAAGCTGAATCCTACTTTTGGCTTCCTTCTCGAAATTGTTTCTACCTAACTGCAGAATCTGCCCGAGGTAAGTGTATTCGGAAACACCTTCAAGAAGGTAGCCATTTACGATTATGGGTCTCGGGTCAATGTGATCATTGATCATGACTTTGGTCTTGTCCAAGTTCATGCCGAGACCAATACGTCCAGAGGCGGACACTAGGCCGTCCAGCATCTGCTGTAGTTCCTCCAGCGACTCGGCCATTAGGACTATGTCATCTGCAAATCGCAAGTGTGAGATGTACTCGCCGTTTATGTTAATGCCCATACTTTTCCAATCCAGCGTCTTAAACATATCCTCCAATGCGGCTGTGAAGAGTTTCGGGGATATGGCATCCCCCTGTCTCACTCCTCTGCGTAATTGGAAGGGTTTAGACTGCTGGTCCTGTACTTGGACACTCATAGTGGCAGCGTTATACAGATATCTCAGCACTTCGATGTAATGATAGTCCACTTGGCATCGCTGCAAGGATTCCAAGACAGCCCAGGTTTCGGCGGAATCAAAAGCCTTCTTATAGTCCACAAAGGCTAGACACAAGGGCCGATTATGCTCTTCTGACTTCTGTCTAATCTGCCGCACTGTGTGTATGTGGTCTATGGTGCTGTATCCCCGTCGAAACCCGGCCTGCTTCGGTGGCTGAAACTCGTCAAGTCTTCTGGCGAGACGATTCGTAATGACTCTAGAATCTACACGATAAAGCTTTCTTTGATCGCTCTTAGCGATAAGATCGCCTTTGCCCACATTAGTTTTAAGTTGTCTATGTACTGTTTTTGTTATTGTATGTGAGCAATAAAGTGTATATCTATCTATCTATCTATCTATCTATCTATCTTTCTATTTTCTTTGTTACTTAGTATAAACACACAAAGTGTCGTCCCCTTAACTTAAATTTAAAAAGTTATTTTGTCGATGGACAATTTCTTTATATAAGTTACTTTTATTTCAGGAAATTATGTTAAATTGAAATTGCTTATTAGTCTTGTAAAATGGCAAGATTGTAATTAGTTATAAGATTTTGTTTTGCTTTATAACAAATAACAATATTTAAAACATTTCTTTGTTACTTATTATAATAAAATATTATTTCAATGATTTTGTGACATTTATTAATAAAATAATCAATCTGCCTAGCTTAATCGTTCTGGAATTTTATCAAAGTTACATTTAAAAAAACAGTTGAGCCGCTTTTTCAGCTTACAGTCTGTTTCTGGTAGGTTTGTAAGTTATTCCAGCGTGCCTTTTAGGTTCACGACTCGAACATCCGCAATGAATATCAGCATCGATGAATGCGGATGTATTTTAAATTATGCCGATTATCCGCGGATGCGGACGCTGATATTCGCAACAACCCTGGCTCCTGGTTGGCTATGACCATCGAGTACATAACCAACTCGATGGCTATGACTTCAATTTCTAAGTACATTTGTGAAGGTTGCGGAAAATGTGTGAAGTCCACATGCCTCATTGGGCAAGCGTGATGAACTATGGCTTAAACACTTTAAACACAAAGGACACCAGGGTCCAGCAGTAAGACATAATGGGGTTGATGATGATGAGAGCCAAAGACGAGTATCTAGGCGTATTTAAGACGAGACCTCTACCAGGTGCCTGGAGCACCCAATTAATTTCCGCGATTGCAGTCACAAAAGTTGTTTATTAATAAACGCGTACAATAAGGTCATACTTAACGGTCGATACAACCTCAAATTGAATGAAAATCACTTTAGAAAAAATACATAGTGAAATCGAGGATATACACTGATTAGATTATTATTACATTTTTCACGGTGTGAAAACACGATTTCTAAAAATTTTCACGACAGAAAAAAAAACACAAACTTACCTCGAAATTTTACAAGAAAACCGCTATATTCAATAGGTATTTTACATGTATAATTTTTTTTAAATCTCGATTTGAATTTTTTCCACGTACGTTTTATTTATTGCGTGGGTCGAGCAGCAGGGACACAGGCTTTATTTCAGAATTATTTTTTTTTCAAACGAAATTACAGCCATTTGAAAATGTATACTACACGTGTTCTATTTAGTACAATTGATATAAAAAAAAATCATTGGTATTGGTATGGTAGCACAAGGGAAGAAAAAAAAGATTGGAAATGACATAAAGCAACTTTTGTATCAAAACCAGTACCAGTACCAGTACCAAGTACCAAGTACCAAGTACCCAGTACCAAGTGTAATACGACACTAGTACAAGCAATTCATTGAGCGTCATTCAAACTGTTCTTTTGACGGCGGCGATGGCTAGCAACCAATGTATATTGTTATTACCGAGTTGCAAGAAAATAATTTTGTTTCGAAATTATAGTATTGTATTGTTCAAAATATTAGAAAATACAGAGTTTTAATACTTACCGATGCAATGAAATCACTCCCGGAGTATTTTTTTTTACTTTGGCTTCTTACGCGACATAATATAATGGTACAATTCGTAATATTTTTATTTTTTCCACAAATTAATTATGTATCACATTTGAACGGCGACGGACGTGCTGTTGACACTCATATGCACGTCTGGTGATAAGCTAGGTAACGTGGACCCTGGCCAATAAGCTAGGTAACGTGGACCCTGCCCACTAACCAGTCTATTACTAGTATTTATGTGGTCTATGCAAAGTACATATTGAATAAGGCGGTTTTCTTGTAAAATTTCGCGGTAAGTTTGTGTTTGTTTTTTCTATCGCTAAAATTTTTAGAAATCATGTTTTCACATCGTATAGTAAGCAGTGCATATCTTCATGATATATTTTTTCCAAACTTATTGATAAAACACTTTCACTGTTATGCGCAACCAACCAAAGATAGTACAGACTCTTCAGCAGAATACTTACCAATAGCTAGAAAAAACAATCCAGAGGCCCTCAAAAGCATCAATAATAGGCATTTCTGATTGTTCTTCTTGTACCATATCTTTATTCAGCAATCGTTCCACTGTGATTTTGGCCAACTGCATGTATTCAGGTATTATTTGGCATTTCTTCGCTATATCTAAACAAAGCTCTTTGAAGTTCGTTACTTCGGACTGAGAGAGAGAGTTTGGACCTGAAACAATTGACACGTTAGGATTTCATTATCAACCTTATACCTGTACAATAACGTCTCCGTCGCCCCGTTTTTCGAATGCCGAGCGTTGGTTGCTCAAGCAATATAAAAAAAATTGTTGTCCAAAGAACAATGCCCAAATTCCATACACTCCTGGACCAGCCAAAAAAAAGTTGGCGACCATCAATCGCAGACACAGGGTTTCATTTATATTTCCATATAGTTCCTAATTATACTAGATTTATATTTTTTAACTAGGGAAAGTTGATTCATGCAATATTTTCATTTTGAGTGTACGTTAAAAATGACGTTAATTATGTTATTTGGTAGTACAGTCATATAATAAGGTAAGTATAGTTGTATACATATTCAAAATAATACTTAGATTCACTACGTCAGACGAATGAGAAAGAAATGGTGCAAAAACAATTTTTTTTTAACCGACTTCAAAAAAAGGAGGAGGTTCTCAATTCGACTGCGTTTTTTTTTGTATGTATGTCACGCGATAACTCCGGTATTTGTGAACTGATTTTCATGTTTGTTTTTTTGTTGAAAAGAGGGTACCTCCATAGTGGTCCCATTTTATTTTGAAGAAAATCATCCACCTCTAAGGGTGGCTGTTCACGCATGAATTCATTTTCATAAATAGCGCCAAATTTTAATATAAGGACATTGACTTACAATTATATGGACGTCGGGTCCGCGCTAAAAAGTGTCCGCACTTGTAAGGCGCTAAAATCGTATACAGAGCGCGACACTCCGCTTTAGTCTTCATTTGTTCTACTGACAGCGCGATACTGCGATGACATTACAATTTAAATTTCGAATAGGTTGACTTGGGACATTTTTTTCGTGGTTTTTGTATTAGACCCGTCGTCCATTTATTTGTAAGTCAATGTTTAAGGAGCAATTATTTTAATGGTTGATTTTGCTTTTCAAGGCGTTTTTCTCTCTCAATATACTTTCGAGTAGTGAGAACCAATTTTTATCATCTCCTGTGTCGAGTCCCGTATAGTAGTCCCGGATGAATCCGGGTTTGCGCACTTTCCGGTAACCGATTTCAATAAAACTTGGTAATTACATGTAATTCCACGTACTTTTGAGGTCGATTTTTTTAATACTCTGTACTGATTAAAATACTTTAAACAACTTAGATTTTGACATTTAATTTCAAGTTTCGTTCACACGTGGCATGATTTCTCCAACATTGAGAGGCAAGTAATTATTCGGAGCCATTATCCACATAGAACTTGACTGGACTTTAATTTTGATTCTAATTCTGATATTTTTTATTTTAATTCTGATAACTTTGAAGTTGAGAGTCAAGTTCAAATTAAAGAAGACTTACGTATTTGAGATCATTGCTTAGCGGTGTCACAATTATTGTAATTTTCGTTTGTAATTATTCAAACGTTGAAGAAATCTACGGCAAGTGTAAATGCCTTTTTATGTATTTAAAAAAATCCGAACCTTTTGCCAACTTATTTCAAAGTTTTATGAATGAAAGTTATATTATTTTATAATGTATATTTAGATGGATATAAATTTTCAGAGTCGCGATTAAAAAAATTGCGAGTCCAAAGTGGGCACTGTTCTTTGACCCACCAATTTCTTTTTTCAAAAATGGAATCTTTGAATGATACCTAACGCCTAGAAAAAATTTGGATGGTGACTAAAAAGTCATCTGTATAGTCCCACTATTGGGCACGGGCATGGACCCAACTCACGAGGACTGCTAATATCCATACTACGGACTGTTACTCTGTAAAAGTTCAAAATTCCGTCTTAGATCTAGATAGCGCTGGTCAATAATAGCCGGGAAGTAGTTTAAATAATAAATGGTCGTGGATGTCAACTAATACCTCTAATATGAAATATAAGAAGTCAGCTTTTTTACTTGTAATATTATTCAAATATTGACCATTGAGCTATAATTATTTTCTAAACTTTTACATATATCAATAGATTGTAATAGAATCTATTCCAATCTATTGTTGCAAGCTAATTTATAAAGGGATAATATTATTTGATCCTCAAAGAAATAATGATCTATTGTAAATGTGCACTTTTTTAAACAAACGGTATTTTTTATGTTTGATATATATATTAATTGTTCCATCTATATTAGTTGATCTACGGATAAATTATAAATGAACTGCTTTGAAGGCAACATTATTATTATGTTTTAACATATTAAATTAATATTTGGTATTCAAAACTAATACGTATCCTATTTTTTATCATTGCTCTTTCAACGATTGATAACATTTATAACCAGTATATCTTTTGATATTTATTGATCGCCTTATAAATATTGGTTGCTTGGTTGCGCCCTCTATTCAGTAGGTTAGTCTAGGTTAGTATATGAAAAAGTAGCAGGAGCTGAGCAAGTGAAGCGAGTGTCGAGCGTGCCGCGGCAGCGGCCGGCGGGTACCAGAAGTCAATTTGCTTGCGTTTCCAACCATGTATTTTATATACAAATATAATTTACTTAGTTTTAAAAATAAGTATCTAAATTTTATGTTTGATGCTCATTTGTCTTAGTTTTGAGGCCCAAACACAAAACTATCAAAGTTAATTTATACAAACCAAACATTTTTGGCGTAGCTCAGAACAGATTAATTGCAGGTGTGCTCAAGCTGCATATTTCGTTATGTGTACATCATTGTTTAATTTACTATAATGGCTTAACATTGCAACATTTTCCGGTTTTTCTTTTCTTTTCTTTGGTCTGTATAAATAGTAAACTATAAATAAAGCTCTTAATTTGCTATTTTTGATATGCATAAGTGGAGGTTTGTAATAGGCTCTTTGATGTTGTTTAGTTTGTATTTTATATTTTGTGTTATTAGCTGTAAACCTTCCTAAAATAAATAAATAAATAAATAGATTAAAATATCCACATAAATACTTTCTTCCGTGAAAATATCGCTCCATTTAATTTATTTTATGTCTCAGAGAAAGGGGATCAATCATTATAAAAGATAACCGTTTAGACTAATTTGCCTGCTGCTTTCGCAAATTTAAAAGGATCTTTTAAATACATGCCATTTGTAAATTACCGCTTGCTAATATGGGTAGATGGCGCTAATCCTAATCGAATAAAATAATTGTCGGCACTATCCATAAAAATCTGTGTAATAAGCGCCACCTAATTCATTTGTTTATTATCACTAGAAATTAGAGTAAGTTTGATAAATTGCTGCTCGTTAATGTAAAACAAATTAGTTACAAAAATAGCTATTTGGTACTTGTATCGCGATTAGCAGTCCTCTTTAGTTGGAGGTCCATGGGCACAGGTATCTTATAAGGAGTTTAGGTCTAGCCCAATGTGGGTTGGGGTTTCACACGTTTTCCATGTTGTAAACATTAAGGTATTAATTGCAATATTCTCTTGCTTTATTGAAATAACCTTTGTCAATTGGTGTACTTACACATTAAAGTTTCTATCATCATCGTGGATTAGTATCCCGATTATGGTGTACGATTATGAATAGCATAATATCTATGCTAATATATTATATTATGCTATTATATTACTAATATTATGCTCCCCGAATTTAATAACAAAAAAGGAAACAAAAACAAATATCGGAAAAAAAACTAAAACAAAAACCAATTTTGTGAAAAAAGAACACAAAATAAAAACTTACAGTTCAGTATAGGTTCGTAACGACAAAAAAAGCGGAATGGTGATGGTCTCACAACGATTCATTTAAAGTCCTAAGCTGAATCATAATAAGAGTTCATGGTTTATTAAGGCCCCAGGATCAAAAATTAAGTTGGCGTATTGTTGATTGGAGGTATCGTAGTGTAAAAGAACGCTTCAATTAACAATAGCAACTTTTATATATTTTATATATATAATCTACATAAAACATTGCGCATTGTTTTACATTTTACATTGTTGGTCTAACGTCACGTAGTGACCAGAAAATCCAATACTTATACCAATTGGTGTTTTCAGTTATTATGTACAATATAATATAATTTATTTACCTAATAAATTATATTAGAAAATACGGTTTACGGAAAAATAGATACCAGAGACATATTTAAGTATACTTAAAAATATTTAATAATAACATAATGAATAAAAAATCTCTAAATAGTATGCACCCAAAGCTACTAAAAATTTGACACTAATCGATACATCCAATTTATTATCGGTTTTTATTCAGGAAGTACGTCTAATGGACGACAACTTCCTGAGCGGGCTTTTAAACCCCCCATATTTAATCTTTTTATTTCTCAACAACTGCTAGTTAAAAAAATTTAAAAAATATCGCATTTCCGATGAAACAGTGACTTGACATTATTTAATTAGTAGTTTTGTATTTAAGGCTATTAAGAACATTTGAAGAGCTTTTAAATGTACTATACTACCACTATACTATTTCAATACGTATTACGCTATCTATAGAAAAATGAAGGAATCCATAATGCGTCTCTGCTTTTCCATATAAATTGCATTTTAAAAACGTTTTGGTATCACAATTTTATGCAGTTAAGTCTGTTTTACCGAGGAGGTGCGAATATATGAATAGGATAACGAAACATGCGTCTACAAGGTGAAATTTAAGAAAATTGTCAATTCTATAATGAAATGCTATGCAAAGCGAGTTCGCCGCGAGATTGTGTGAATATGTGCATCCGTATACGGCGTTCGGCGGCCGTGCACACATAAGAGACGCGCTGGTACGTTTGTATGGAGTTACCATACTTCTTTTATTATAATTATATACTATGGTAACACCCTGATCGGAGTCAATTTGGAAAAATTCGTTTCCTACTGGAGATCGAACCGCTGGGTTGAAGTGAAATAAAAATGGTACATACGTTTACTCTCAATAGAAACCCACGCGTGTCGCAAGTCCGTGATAAGGTGTTCTATTCGAGGGAATACTTCGTTGAATACGGCGATCCAGTGTTTGAGGAGGCATTGGAGGACATCCGAGAGGGTCCAAGGAGGAGCCTTGAAGAGCACATGCTGCCACAGATTGTTGTACTTTGCTCGCATTTCGTTCTGGAATTTAAAAAAACGAAAATATTGTAAAGGCTTTTTTTATTTTTTGAATTTATTATGGAATTAAAAAATTTAATACACCGGTGGCTTCCTAAAATTCTAGAACTTAGGACTAGTCAAGGCTAGAACGCATAGGCATCGTCGGTCATGTCGTCACTTAACATCATCAAGCATAAATCTATTTTCAAAAAAAAAAAAGAAAAGCTTAAAATCCTCACGAAAAAATATCTTCAAACATTTGATAAAAATCACGATGATTTTAACCTGCACTTTCCATTAGCTTTTGACGAATTTAATGTATTTTTCTTCCATTTTGATAACACAACGCACTAGCTATACTGACGCCGACTGTACATACACAACACACCTGCCTGCCGCCCAATAGGGTCGTCTGAGACTACAGACCTTCACTATAGTTAGAACCTTCCTGAACTAAAGCTATTCCATATACCCAATCCAGTATCTTTAAAAATAAACTTATTAATCAAGTCTGCTCAAAACAAAACACATTCCCGAGGCCTAAATGTCTAAATTGAAAATTAGACTCAAGTTCAAAGGCAGGGGCTAAGTTCAGACCCAAATATTCCCTGGTTTTCAAGTTCTGAAATTCAAAATCAGTATACAGAAACTTAAATTAGTATGCACCAGACAACCTTCCAAAGTTATTTTTTCAGAGACGAAAACGGTCACAACGAATAATAATACAAATATCGAACACAAAGAAAAATTCCTTTTCACCCGACAAGACTCGAAACTACGCCATCTGAGCTACAGCTAGAGTCAGCAGATCTTACGAATCCCTCTGTTTGTTATAGATCTTTGCATCAGGTTTTCAGTTTTTAACACCGTAAGCGACACCTTGTGAGAGAATTATGAAGCTTATCATTCAATCAGTACCTTTACAACTACCACAAGCTGACATAGATGTCGCTGTATTCATTATAATGTTGATTTTATTGAATAGCAAAATATAACACTGAGATAAATTGATTCGTATTCACTAGGGATAAGCACAAGTTTTATGCAGCCCGAATTACCTCTAAAATGTTTGCCAACAACTGGTGCATGGTGTTCTCATAATGCTTTACACTGGCATAAAGGTCGGGATCCACTGTGGCCTGGGGTTTGTTCTCTAGCAGTGGCTTTAGATCGGCCAGTGTGATGCATTTCACGCCATTTATTGATGCCTTGTTACACAGGTTCTTGTCGTTTGATAGTAGAATCTGATGACAAACATAACAAAAGGTAATGTTGTAAATGAAATTATTTTTTTAAATCTAAGTCGCGGCTATTTGTTTTTCATATCTACCGATAGCTGCCGTGACCATGGGGCCTGCAAAGAGCCCGAAACATGGCTCGTATGAAAAAAAACAAATATACACATTTTAAACCTAATTATTTTCATTTCCAATGAGTAACAATCACGAAACCCTAAAAACTGAAAATTTTACGTTTCGCTGCACTAGGGAAACCCTGTACCCCATAAAATAAAGATTCTTTGAGTTTGAGATACAACCAAAAAAGGTATACCAAAATAACTTACAACAGATATTCCTCTCTCCTTCTGCTGCAGGCAGCAGTTTAGAATCTCGTCATCAGGCAGTTCGCATGGGTATATATGGCAATTTGCGTCACGTAGTGATTGGCCTGTAAGATGTGTGACGTCAACACAAGAACGAGTGCACTGAAGAAAGTGGGTGGTAATATATTAATAGAAAGTATTTGAATTAGATATACACGTAGTGTCGCAATTTTTGGCTAAGAAACTTGACGAAAAGTCGAGAATGCGAAGCTTGAAATAGATTACTTATAGTCAATGAAAAGGTGGGAAATCTATAGTGCCATAACGGTATCTAACAGAAGCAAATTACAAAGAAATAACTAACCAAATAAGCCCAAAGGAAAAGTGCTAAGATAGCTACTATAACACTTATCTGATAGTGGAGTGTGACCACATGGAATTGAGGAGATGGGACGTAATGGAGATATAAATATTGTTCTGCGAGACCGAGATCCTTTACATAATAGCCAAAATGATTTATACTTATGTAACCTACTGCATTAAATCCAAAAATACACCTAAGGGCGCGTTCCCACTATGTCGTAACGTTTTATTTATTTATGTCGCGTCTAGCCTGTTCCCATATCACGACTATCTCCCGTGACTGTGTCGTAGACGTGGACTGTTCCCACTAGATCGTGACGAAATTTATCAGTTCACGGCAGCCGCCTTGTTGTTTGCACGACAGAATCGTTTCGAAGTTGCGATTATCTGTCGTCACATTTTTATCGTGACGATAAATAAAACTATTTATCGTCCGACGATAGTTAATCCTGTTGTACTACATGTGAATAACTTCATTTAAATATACAAGCCACGGCACTTTAAACGGCACGACTATCTGTCGTCACGACATAATGGGGACGCGCCCTAACTGACCACGCAATTTTGAGATACCCTATGAGGCTGATAGACACCATATAGTACAGTATTAAAGGCCTTGTTAAGAATAAGGAAAAAAAAAATACCACTTATATTAAATAAATTAAAAATCCCCGATAAAGAACACGGTGTACTCTAAAAAGTCAATAAAGTCACCTAAATACTCGTGAAGACCAAATTATTGAGCCCAAATACGATAGTTCTATGTAAGTAGTTGAGGAGTTGGGTCGTTTACAGATAATCCTGGTTGCGGTAACAAATTTCAAATTGATTAAACAGTTGAAAGTAAAATTAAAACATATTGATTAGTACTGCAGTCTTATGTCCTTTTCGGTTTGTTTATGACAGGAAATACTGGATCCCAAAATGGTGGTATAGAAAAACCATCTTTCCTGTAGAAATTAGGATGTTTTTTATTTTTTATTACACAGGCCATTGAAATTTAAAAAAACATCCTAATTTCAATTGGAAAGATAGTTTCTCCGTACCACCAGTTTGAAGGCTGAAATCCTTACACTAACTGGAAAAAAGAATTCATGATCATTATACAGTTCAATGATGTTCACAAAACATACTATGAACCATCCTGATTAAATTAGGCATCCATTTGGGAGCTATATACATTGCCACATACAAAGAGATAGATAAACAGAAAAGCTTCAACTTTATAACTCCTCTCTTTTTGTGTCGGCGATTAAAAATTGGACATATTGATACAGATAAAAAATCCAAATCAATGATATGTTAACATAAGTATACAGAAATTTTTAAGCAACCTTTTATCCGACTATTCTCGGGCAGAGACTTGTAGAGGTAATCCATGGCGCTGCGCGCGCGCTTGCAGATGGCGCCGTTGCCATTATTGTTGTCTTTCAGGCGGTCTAATTCATTGATAACGCGCCACGGGACAAGTAACGTCGGTTGCTCTGAATAGCCTGTTTGAATTATCAAAATAAAAGGTCATCAGTCTAACTAAAGAATAATGTGGACATTCCCTTATACAAATCCCGAGACTTCTCACAATGGATTAGATTTGAATACGCTGTAGCCGCCAGACCCTAGTAGAAGATGTAGAGGATCTGGACGAGCTCGTTAAATTAAAGACGATTTATAGTGGACTGTAATATATTGGCAATAGGTTACTGGTATACAAAAGTAGTGCCATTAATCGCTAAACAGTGGTGGTTTCTTGTGGAAGTACAATTCAAAAGTAAATGTCGTTTTTGACCATTGTGAATTCGTACAAAATATTCGTTACATATGTAGGGATGAAATAACATGTATGTAGTGTCAGTGGATTGGTTCAAAATAGAACACCTACCTACCGGCCTAGGTAACATGACCTTGACGAGCGTTTAGTTACTGCTTCGAAAATTACATTAAGTTACAAAAATTCTGTTGCGTTCGCAACATGTGCATATTATTCATTGATATTTGAGTACGTTCGCGACTACAAATTATTGTCTCAAAACATAATATTGTACGTACGTATTTAAATACTTTAGCCATTTCGAAAGTAAATATGAGACAACCTATATTTTGGAACGTTTAGAAAAAACAGTAATAAAAGAAATTTTACACACATTGATGATGAAATGGACATTTTTTTTTAATATCAAGTGACGAAACGAACAAGTCATACGCCTCATGGAAAACTACACGCCTGTCCATAACAGTTGCAGTGCCACTCAGAGCTTTAAATCGCAAAGATTTGAGGGGCACTGCCACTGCGCCCGTCACCCTGAAACGTAAGTTGACAAGTCTCATGTGCCTGTAATTTCACCAGAACTCTTAACCTTCAAAACCGGAACACAGTAATGCTGACATTATTGTTTAGCGGCAGAAACAGGTAAGGTAGCAGTACTTCCCTGGACGAACTCTTTCGCAAGGAGCTCTACTGCTACTGAAGGGTAATCCATAGTAGAAGGGTATGTCCATACTAAGGAAAGCATTCATACATTAGGTAAATTAACTCTTTGAATTCCGATCACTGATTATAATTGTCATACTTATGATCTGTCTGTCAACCTGGGTTGAGTTCCAAGGATTGCGAACCTTCTTCAACATGCAGGTTTCATCACAATGTTGTTCTTCACCATTAGCGAGAGGTATTGTTAAATATTTACTTATGTACGTAACTTAGAAGTTAAAATCCAAGGTACATGCCACAAGATTCAAACTATCAATCTCTCATTAACAAACAACAGTCTCCCACTGAGCTACAACCATTGTTAATATTACATTACTGAGAAACAGGTAAGGTTACCTTTTATATGTGAATTAAGGACATTCTTAATAACATCAAGCTCATGAATAAAGATGTTTGTGTCCACTACTAAAACTACATTCTCCTTGATTTCTGTGCTATTTACATTTGTGCACTGAAAGGAAGTTGTGGTCTGCCTCATCTGTAAATAAATACAAAGGATATTGAAATTAGGTGTTTCAAAATTACAATCTATTTGGTAATGAGCTGTTTTATTTTATATGCAAAAATTTAAAGAAAACTACACAACTGTAATGTTAAGCTATTTAAAAAATAGTTGGAAAATTGAAAATTAATTACATATAGTAAGGTTTTTAAATCAAATTCATAAATTATCATAGAAAAAAGGCTCCAGTCAGCATTTGCACAGTTGCGACTAAAATACAACCTGATGCTGGCATTGTGGTGAGCAACAGAGCGGATGCAATCAAAACATACTTTACCTCTTCAGAGTCTTCTACATCCATTGCCTCAAACTTGGGTAATTCAATGCTACTTAAACTATCATCTCTTTCCGCATCATTACTTAACCTATTCCGTAATGCTTCCATTCTGTCTTTAGCAGACATAAAAGTCTTTACTGGTGTATCTTTATATGGTACTTTATAAGACAATTTCGATTTTATAGCCGAAACCAGTTTACTAGCTTCAGAAAACTGTGGTGGTGTAGCTGGGTGTTTAAGTGACGGATATTCAGCAGTTTGATTGCAAATACCCTGTTCTATATCTGCAAATGTGTCTTTTTGTTTAGTTTTGTTGCAGTACTCTTCAGGCAATTGAGCCTTCATTGATGATATGATTTTGTTTGCCGCAAAAAACTGAGACGGAGATGGTGCAGACTGAATGCTGTCACTGCTTGGTGATTGTGTTGTGGACACCTTTGATTCATTTAGTGGACTTTCTGAAGGAATTGCCTTAGGACTACATCTGGCCACTTTAGCAGGCGATAGATCAATGTCTTCAGGTCTTGACTGTTGAATTTCAAAATCTAGTTGGGCTCTGAGATGTGATAGTCTATTGCTTGCTAAGTTTTTAGGAGTTGTTTCTTTAGATTGTGTTGAAGGAGTGGATTTTGGGGAAGGCCGTAATAATCTATCATTTATATTTTTAGGTGCCGTCTCTTTTGAAGGTACTAAAGGGGTTAATTTAGGGGAAGGGTGTTGTAGTTGGTTTCTTGCTACATTTTTAAGAGTGTTAGGTGTTCTTTGTGTAGGCAGTGGAGATGGGACAGATCTAGGTGAAGGTACAGGTATAGTTGGTTTTCGAGGACTCTCCTTTTTAAGTGTAATGGCATGGAACTTTTTAGCTCTATCATCCCTTTTGGAAGGTGGCTTTTTTGGCTGTGGTTTCCGTATTCCTGCTGTTTTTTCTGAAATTTAGGACACAAAATAACATTATTATTTACACTTAAACAATTTTGGTCCAATAATTAACCATGTTTAAATTCAAAGTTAACACAAAACTGGTTAATATAGCCCTCTGAAATCAAGGCATTATTGTATTGTATTTTGTTCTATATTTTTGATGCAATTTAGCGTAATGATTGTTAAAACATATAAAGCTGATAAACAGTGAAGTTTAATGTACTCCAAAATTCTTAAATACTATCTGTTCTAACTCGAGCTCAAAACATTTGATTCAGAATAAAGCATGTTCCTCTTAACTCCACCTGGCTATATTGATATCTCACATGTCTTCATCTTTACTTACATGGGAGGTATCAACAACTACAAATAAACAAATACAATAACTTTGTTGAAGGTCAAAATACCATTTTTTGCTTTTTAACTTAAATATATCCTTTTTTATGTATGTTATAGGTTCCATATTTAAAAGTAAAGAAATCACTTGGGGTTTGTTGTTTACTTTTGAAAATGGAACCTGTAATACTTATATGGGAGGTATCAATATACAAACCAATACACCAGTCTCTTCATGGAAAGCTGTTATGGCCATCTATATGCATTCACAATACCAAGGGAGTGCATATATAGAAAGTGGAATATAATTAAAGTTTACAATAAGCCCTCTTTAGAATTAAAATATTGATAGTCTGGATAAATTAACGTGTTGTGGGATTATAAGCTTTAAAAAATGCACCTGGTTTCAGTTTCTTTGTTGAGGTCTGATCTTCTGCGGCGCAACATTTTCGTTTCAAATTTTTCTTCTGTGGTTCATCTTTCTTTTTATTTTTCTCTCTTTTATTCTTACGTTTGTTTTGTTCGCATTTACTGGGTCCATCTTCAGCCTTGAAAAATTTGTTCAGATTATTGATTGAGTTTACACTTTATTAACTTTACAAATAAACGTTGTATATTGAATACAAGAAACTATAATAATTCGACAAAGTATCTAAACTCTTACCCGTAACTTATTAAGTAAAATAGAATATACCTTAGGTTGAGTCCAAAGAGACTTCCCTGTTTTCATATGGAAGTAATAGTTTCTACCGGGGTTAGACTTCGATTTGAATTGCTTCCAACCATCGGGTAGCTTCTCTTCCCCATTGTTATTAGAGTTCATGGTACAACATATGAGACTGCCTAAATAAATTCATTGAATTCACGAACACTATAAAAAAATATTTGTGCAGTTTTGATTCGATTGACAAATTATTCGAACATAGACAATATTATCGTTTATTCTCTATACGTGGATCGCTTTATTTGCTCAATTGATAAAAAAAAAATATATAAAAAGTCAATGGTATTTTTAGAATTTGGTATTTTATGCTTAGAGGCTTAGAATAATAACGCATATTCTAAGCTTAGAGGATGGAAAAAAAGAAAGAGGCTTAGAATAATAACGCATATTCTAAGCTTAGAGGATGGAAAAAAAGAAATAGTCTAAGATTTTATATAAGATGAGATGACTTACTTATTATTAATACACTTTTGACGATACAAGCTTTTAAAAATTCAATCCAAAAGTATCGACCCCACTAAAAGTTGTGTTCTACACGTGCCACTTTAACTATAATAATACCTATCTTTTTGTAGTTTATGGTGTAGGACAGTGTAGACCTCAACGATGGAATTCGATATTAAAAAAATGTAAACAAAGATATCGCATTACAAATATTTATGAAACGTGCCGATCCCAAAAGGGAAACAGCAAAAATATGATTTTTTTGGAATTAAATGGTGCCCTTTTTTCTTACGACTTTCCTTTCCTTCTAAACCTGATAAATTTTGAAAAAATATCAAAAAAATTATGCATCTTTTGATGGTGATATGAATAAACTGAATAAACTTTACAGTCTTCCGTATTATTTTATTTCTAAAGTTAGTTTAAGTTGATGGCCCCATTCAGTGAGCATAAATAGTATTGTTTACAAGTATAATATCATGTGCCTTTTTGCCAAATCCAATAAATTAAAAAAAACTGAGCATATGACATTGACATTTCAAGCAGCTGACTGTCTAACATAACCTCAAATTATTATTTATTTTCTGAATTATTCAATAAAACATGGAGAGGCTCGTAAAATTTGCTAAAATAATTCGAACTAATTGGAAAAAGTCACTGGTTGGCGCCTTCGCTGTTTACTACGGGGCCGCCACTGCTAAACAAAAATACGAGTAAGTATTACTTTTTAGTTACTTTCGACTTTACTTATTTAAATCCTGTTTAGCAACGTATTAACTATAATATTTACACTTTGTTCGCACTACACCTTACTAAAATTTTGGAATGAATGAAATTTAGTTTTTTTTGGTCGCAGCATAAACATTCTAATGCGCGCAGCTTGCAAAGAAGCAGCCCAATACGGTGACAAACTAATTCCTATGGAACGAAACCCAACCTTGGTCACTGTAATACTGAATCCTGTTGCTAACAAAAGAAAGGCAAAGCAAGATTTCGAGAAATATTGCGAACCTCTGTTACATTTGGCTGGGTTGCAAGTGGATGTGATACAAACGACGTCTGAGGGTAATGCTAAGGAGATTGTGGAGACTCTGCGAGGTACCGAAGCTATTATTGTTGCTGGTGGTGATGGCACGTTGTCTGAGACTGTTACAGGTGTGTAAATATTTTATTTTGTTGAATGTTTTATAAGTACCTAAAAAGAAACTTTTTTATCAGTGATTGCAATTGGCCCATTAAAACTTCAAGCAAGACATACACGTAAATTGGATAATTGCCTCTCTTTAAAATCCCAGAATCATTTTATTGTATCTATATCAAGTTCATAGGCCTTCGTGATTGCAACACATTGGATGATGTAAAAATGAAAATAATGATGAAACTGATTTTTTCTATGGATCTAAATTGCGAATTTATCATGAGAAATTTATCATGCTTTAGAAATGTTGGTTTGTTTAAAAAATGAATATATGCAATTTATGTCTGAAAAAAACAGTTCCATTAACAATTATTTTATACAGACTAAAGGCGGCGAAAGCTGAAGCCTCCCCTTTTCGGATTGTTCTAGAGTTTTTTTTATTAACATAGTATGTTTTAGTAATGTAGAGGTCCTTGGGAAAGAGCTCGTCCAGGGAAGTACTGCCACCTTACCTATTTCCACCACCAAGCAGTAATGGTCACTTTACTGTGTTCCGGTTGTGCAGGGTAAGGGTGCTGGTGAAATTACAGGCACATGAGGCTTGTCAACTTGTCTCAGGGTGACGGGCGCAGTGGCGGGGCCCCCAGATCTTTATGATTTAAAGCTCTGAGTAACACTGCAACTGTTATGGGCAGGCGTGTGGCTTACTACCAGACACCCCGTCACTTGTTATTATAAAAAAAAAACTTAAAATCATTGACCTACCAACAAATGGATGTCGGGTCTAATACAAGAACCACGAAAAAAATGTCCAAAGTTAACCTATACAAACGCAGTGACAAGTAATGAAATATAAAAAACTAAAACATTTAATTTAAATTGTAACATCATTGCAGTCCTTCCTATTTTGCTTGCAACAATTTAAGGACCCCAAAAACACCATATTCAGCTTCTACTGAAAATTTAACAAAATGCACCATATTTAGCTTCAACTTTAAAAATTTTAATTTGAAGAAAATTACTTGAACACAAGATATGGTAGCCGTTATCGTAAATATTAATTAAAATTTATGTATATTATTATGTCGAATTTTGTGCAAATTCACGTAAAGAAATAATAAAGAGTTGGGCAGATACAAACATGCAAATATTACTACAAATGTGAAAGTAAGCGTGTACTATAAGAAATGTACTGATATTCCAACTAAACGTAAACCGTAATTCTGAAAACCGATTTAGTTTAGTTTTGTAATCTTCCTAAAATAATACATTTGACATTTTATTTCGTAAGCTCTTAATAAAAAATATTTTTTAAAATAAGATTAAAATCAAAGCGACTCAAACAAAGTGGTTCGAACAATTGAGAATGACCAAAAAGTTTATATAAGCTTCTTGAAATTGACGTAATGGGTCTCTTTCCATCTTTTGCGCATGCAATGTGTAGAAAAATTGTGTGCTTTTGTAATTTACATTTACGATTCATTTATATATAAATTAAATACGATAAAACTGTACAAAATAACACTTTTAAATGAGAACTATGATAACACAATATATTTGTTTAGTGAAAATATGGTACAAAATCCTGTTTTTACACTTTACTGCGGTAATTTTTACAAGTTATTATTATATGGTACTGCATGATTGACAACCGCGCTGTCACTCGAACAAATGAAGACTGTTGCGCGATTGACGCTCTGTATGCAATTTTAACGCCCTATAGGTGCGGACACTTTTTAGCGCGAACCTAACGCCCATTTATTTGTAGGTCAATGCTTAAAATTTATAAATTGTAATATTATCCGTTATATTAGTAAAATTGTACATTTGAATTCAAATGTATTTCAAAACTGTTCTTATTCAATATAATTTTTATTCCTAAATAACTTTAACTGAATTTCATGATTCTTCCTAGGTCTACTCAGAAGAAATGATGAAGCCAATCGTTTCCCACTTGGCATACTACCATTGGGCAAGACAAACACAATAGGAAACTCCTTGTTTCCAGGAGGCGAGGGTATTGACAAAGTCAAGCAACTGATAAATGCCAGTATGGCCATCATAAAAGGCAGTACCATTTGGAAAGATGCCATGAAAATTGAACCCATTCCCGAAGAAGACGAAATCCCAAATAAACCTATTTACGCTCTGTCTTCATTGGAATATGGTGCTTTCAGAGACACACTTGCTAAAAAAGATAAATACTGGATCTATGGTCCTTGGAGGACTTACGCTGCATTCGTTTTCAATGGCTACAAACAGTCTTTAAATTGGGAATGCAGCGGCACATTGAAATACACACCACCATGTAATGGCTGCAGTAATTGTGTGAAAAAAAAACCTGAACTACCGAAACGATGGTCATTTTTCGTTCCAAATACAAAGCATGCATTATCTACAGAGATGGATTATGCTAAAATTGTGAACCCAGAATGTGCAGTGTCCCAGGAACTATGTTTTAAAACAAGTGACTTTAGGATTCAGTCATCAAATATTAATAAAAGCTCTCCTGTACCAGCATTATCAATATTATTGGGGAAAAGTCATTACTCATATGTACAATTCATCTCAGATGGATGGAGTAAGGTAAAAGGGCAAAACACAAGTAGTGAACCTATTCATGTAAGGTCAGTGGAATTCTTACCAAAAAAGTCAGACAAGGAAGTTCTAATCGAAATAGACAAAGAAGAATTTGAAGTGAAACCAGTTAAAATTACTTTATTACCTAAAGTTGTGCGATTATTCTGTCAATCAGAAATAAATAATAATAATTAAGGATTTTCTTTTTATTTATATAAAATAAATATTTACATGGCATTACATGTTAATCTGTGACAAGGACTTATCAAGCCTAAAAGTATGCACTGCGTCCCAAGTAGAAAACTACAAATGTAAAATATTTTGCCTTGAATACTCCCATATAAAAATAGCCGCAGTGACATGGACATTGAGCGATCTGACAAATCCTTGCTGTGGTATTTCCACACAATGATCCATCAAGTGTAACAATTCGCAGGGAATACCTTCTTTTTCATGCCTGGAACAAAAGACTAGTTACACTTTATGATCAATTATAATCACAAAATGTAATCGAAAATACGGACAACGGCACATCAGACTACAAATTTTTGTTCGAAAATCGCCTCCAGTGCAACGGAACAAGATACGTCAATGTGTATCTTGATGTGCTGGCGTGTGTACAATAAAGCTTGCACTGCGACGTGAGCCAAACCATTATAAATTATTACATGAAATGAACAGAACATACAATACAGACATATTCACCTATTTTTCACTTACCCCAATAACAACAAAGTCTTCTTGGGAAATTTAAAGCTCTGTAACTGACAACTAGTTGAGGTTTGCTCAGCTGCGACTATGGAGTAACCTTCACTACTCTTTTGCGTCAGGTAACGCTTCAAAGGTGCCCCTGGACGGACTTCCTCTATGTTCACCCAACGTTCTGCTGACACACTGTAAAATTGTTAGAAAGGTAAAAGAAGGATTCTTAACAATTGCGATTTATCAATACCATTGGTACACATTTTAAAACCAAAAACAGTATAATGTTGTTTGTCATCTTACCTCAGTCCCTGAAATTGTTTATCCTGCAAATGCCTGAGACTATTAACAACATAAGTGTTCACTCCAAACACCTCGCTAGTTCTCGCCATTCCACCCAGGTTCGGTAGCTTATCTATCAGAGATGCTACTACTATCAACTCACTCGGACTCTCCTTCTATAAAAATAAGTAAATTATCGAGAAATTGTAACGATTTTGGACTGTTTATTTCCATGAGCTGCGCTATCCAAAGTTTGGTAAATAAAGCGTTTTGATTTCATTTGGTACATCGTCATCTTCTACAACACTAATGAACATATCTTCGACGACGATGACAGACTAAAACGAATTCTTTAGATTATCACAACATGAAATTCTGAATAAAACTTTTCCGTCACAATTAATATCCATTTATGCTAAAGGGGATCCACAGTTTTCATATTAATATTGGATTGCATAGGGTTTTCGAAAGTCAACTAATGTTCTGGTGAAGGCTCATTTGCAAACTGCAACTTTTATTACTTAATAAGGTACAATGAATTTCTTGTTTCAAGTCATCGTGCATCTATATGATTACGAAAACATACCTATATATACCTATAAAACATTATATATACCTTTTTTCCACAGTCATAAACATCAATGTCGCTCATGGATTTCCAAGGAATGTATTTCTTCTGTATTGTTCCAAGAGTTTCCGAATTTTCCTCCGCAGTATTAGCATCTGACGTTTTGTTGAAGTTATAGCCGAAAACTTCATCATTACTTTTGTGGGTACATTTCCATTCTTTATTGAAATCATTGTCAATCATACCTTTAGTTATAGCATCGAGAGTCATTCCAGTTACGGTCTCAATAAAATTTTGATCAACTTTTTCATTGCTTACAATATCGCAGTATCTTGGCAAGAAGTAGAAGATAAAACTAGGAGTCAAATGCTTAACAATATCAAACTCGTTGATGAAAAAGTCTTCCTTCAGTTTTACAAAATTCTTATCCTTTGAACTATCAATGAAAGTCTTTTCTATAACTTCAATTATGTAATTGTATTTATTGATTTTGTTAATCTCATAAAGCTTTGTAGCCAAATATTGAGCGTGTAACCGTACGTTGAAAATTTGTCCCATTGTGTGAGATAGTAGAGTATGCATTACAAATTCAAATTCTTCGGTTTTGTAATCGCCTTTGTCTATTTTATGTTTGAGTGTCCAATAGAGTATAATGAATTGTGATGTTATAGGAACATTTTTTATTCCCAACTTCTCCACTAGCACTTCATTAATAGTAGCTTTCTGAAATTTGAAAACGCAGTTAAATTTATAGAATGCTGATTCCCTAACAAAGCGCGGTAGTTCTATAAATGAATATTTCTCTCATAAACTTATCATCCTCCATTCTTTTTTGACGTCAATTATCTCAGGTCATGGATTTCATAGAAATTTAGACGGCTTAAACGATAACGATAGAATTGTAATTTTGATGCTAATTCAAATTCCATATTCCATGCAAGTCGGTTCATCAATGGAAGCAATTCCATAATCGATAATTTATAACATTAATGTATTTATATATGGATAAATAAAAATTGTTGACATCGTCGTTACTGGTCTGGATTTTTTACAGTAAATGACTTACTGTAGGAACGTTTTCCTAATACATAATTGCTTCTGCAAAATGCAAATATTTATACAGAGTTTCGGTAAAACAGAACACTTGAAAACATCTGTTGCAAATTAACGTTACTGACCATGGTATTCGTAAGAAATTGTTCGTCGTTGAAATTTCAATTGCCTTTATGCAATTACCAAAGGTTGACTTCTGCTAATTTTTTTCTAACATTTTACTTAAGTGTTCAAACAACAGTCACATAAGAGAGCCTATCTAATTTGACAGACTTAATGATCATCTTCAATGAACATTTCTAAAACTTCTCAATAAGTTCAATAACTTACCCTGAAATAAATGTGCAACGCAATAAACCACTCCAAGCAGATTCTGACACTCGGCTGATGCGGCAGTCTTCCCAAAAGCTCTACACACCACAGTACAATATTCTCCGACTTCAGCATATCCAAATGCAACAAGAAAAACATCAAACGATGTTGCAATGCAATCAGCAACGTTCTGTGCATCTGAGAATTTCCATGATATCTCTGTTTGTTGTCAAGTACCTCCTCTATTCTCTTTTCAATTAATGTAAAAATTATTTGAAATATTTCTTTATGCTTGATCTTGCATAATGTTGAAAGTGCCAAATATTGAATTTGGAAGTTAAAATGGAAATTGTTGCTAGAAAGGAGAAACATATTTTTTAAATTAAAATCTGTTATAAAGAGATTATAGAAACATTAACGGTCGTATTCTAGAACTCTACTCAATGCTCAAGTCAGGATTGCACTGGAAACACAAGCACTGGAAATACGACCCTAATGGCAGGGACTTGAGTATGATTTCGAGTGCTTTGAATCATACTCAAATCCTGACTTGAGCATTGAGTAGAGTTCTAGAATACGACCCTAAGTGTGGCTAAGTTAAAAGATGATGAATCCAAATTTATAATTAAACTTACTTCTTGTTCAAACCATATTTTGGATTCAGTATAATTTCAACAGCAACATTTTCAGCTATCCTGTAAATGCAAATGATCAAATTTTTATAATCAAATTGTCGACATAAGAGCACGAGTTATTGATATGACAGTATCCTAACCTGTGATCCTTTTTCGGTACTGGAGAGTACAACATAATTTCACAAAGGACGTAAACAATTTGCCCAAGGTCTTGAGTAATATTCATTTCATGTAAATTTCTCACTAAATAAAATAATGGGGTATTCTTCAATGGAGCATAGTCAATTATCTTGTTACAATATTGTATTACTATATTGTTGTACACTGGCTTTTTTAACAAAGAATCTTGTAAGAGTAGGTTAGTAAACTCTTCAATGCACGGCGAATATTGGTTGTTGGATTTTAACTCTTCGATTTCTTGCCACATTTTTCCAAAAAATTGCCCAACATTAAATTTCATGTATTGTTCATTTACAAATATTGGTATAACTTTGTTCATGATTTTTAGAATCCACTTTAAACAACCATAGCCACCGCATTCTGTCATGTTTTCAATAAAACCTTCTATTTTATTCAAATTCAATTGTACATCTTGATCTTTCAGTAAACTGTACATCACAGTACAAGTTTTTTCATAGATTATATTCCTGTATCTGCCATTATATTCAATGTCACAACATTCTTTGAATTTCATTCCTTTTACCATTTCAAGCAATTGTATAAAACTAAGCATTTCATGCTCATAACTGTTGACCATTAATAAATTTTCAGTCAGGGTATTCACAATAAATATAGCAAGAACCTTCTTATCCAAATCAGTGCTAAACTCTTTTAGTAGCAAAATGGCATACTTATACAATTGTAGCAAAATTTCTTTGACATTTGAATCTGCACTTGCAACCAATGATCTCACTCCTTCAAAAAGCAGTGCAATTTCTTCTATGGTTAATTTACTATCACTTGGTAAGAGAGTTAAAATATATTGCAATACAGTTTTGATTTCTTTACTAATTATAGCTTTAATAGTCTTTTTACAATCTCCATTGTTATCTACACATTTCATAAAGGCATATGTTATAAAAACAACATCATTAAAACATTCTGTTTTCTTTGAATATTGTCTGCTAATTATTTCTTGAACATTCTTAATCTTTTCATTTAGTATATTTAAAACAAATCCAATATCGTCTTTATGATTTTCAAGATATACAAGTACAAGTTCTATATTTATATACGACTCACACATTACATTAAAAAATTCTTTAATTTCATCTTCTCTTATAGTGAGTTTGTTGATTATTATTGTCAATGGATTGTTGGTTTTATTATTTAGTGAGTCCCATTTGATAGAACAATAAATGCTGTGAAGATCTTTCCAATTCAGTTTGTTATAATTTTGAATCATATGTAATATGTTAACTTTGACAGCATTTCTTATTGGAATATTATTACAAGGAACTTCAAGTATTGCTACAAGAATTTTAGTTATTTCCAAGGCTTCTAATTTCTTTAACTGCTTCTCCCAATTAAATTCAGAAAGTACACAACTTATGTGGTAAAATGGTACAGGCGACCATTTCACTTCAGATATAGCTGTTAGGATATTTTTGAAATTGTTATCATCACTTGCAAATGATTTTGCTAATCTATTTTTCAAAACTTCACAATCTTTTTCTTTATCAAAAAGATTGATATCATTCATAGCCTCAAGTACAGATTTTGCTTCTACAACATTATAAATTTTGGATTTAAGTTTATATTCGATGCATTTAAGTCTTACTTGAGTATTGTCATGTTGGAGGCCTATATTGAAGGCGCAGTAGAGCCAATTTGAAATGCTAGGATCGTTTAAGCAATCAAAAAGCTTCAATGATGGCAGTACAATATTACTTTGTTTTTCTTCCAAACTGTCTACAAGTATGAAATAGTTGTCCCACATTTGTTTTAATGCATTTTGATTCTTACAGTTCCATGTAAATAAAGTTACAAATTCTGTGTGAATCTTAGCATCCTTTTTAAGATTAAATAAACAATCAATTGCTCTTTTCATGAGATAAATAGATAGTTTTCTTACTGAGGGATCATTAGATTTTAAACCGCATAGCAGAATACTCCAAAATTCATGATGAAATATGATTTCAGATTCAATAGTTTTCTTCCCTTTCATGTCAGCAACTGGTAAAAAGAATTCAGAAAGACAACATAGAGTTTTTAAGGCATGCTCTTCATTCACATGTCTTATTAGTTTCAAAAATTCCCAGATTCTATCTAGAATGTTATACCCAATAACAGCTTCAAATAACTTTGGCACAATGTTAGTTAGAAAATATATTTTTAGTTTTTCATCACCACTGTTCAAAACATTTTCTACAGGAATTTCTAAGAAATGCAAAGACAGTTTTTCTTTATTTATCAAAACTGCATTTAATATACTGTTACACAGTTTGAAATTCAATAACATTTTTAATTTTAATTTCTCATCTATGTCATAATCTGATGTTTTTTTAGGCTCTTTTGAAGGCAAGTGCAAGTCAGATAGAATTTGTTGCAATAGATGTTCGGATTTGCTAACAATTGAACTGGAATTAAGGGAAAGGACAATATGTACGATTTTACATACAATTTCGATGTTCTCTTCTCGTAAATCCTCAAAAAGTTTAGCTAAAAAGTTGCATTCATCGTCGTTATCACATTCAGAAGACTCTCGTAAGTTAATTAGATGTTTATACTGCAGTAAATGTACAGCGCTCGTAAGATGCTTGTACGTGTAATTACTTCTCTGCATAATAGTTTTCAATCTCTCATCCACCATTTCTTCGTCTAAATCTAATAAATCCATGAATGAAAGTATGTCGTCGCGGCAATCCATGTTTAGGTTACTTTTATATTGAAACTTTGAACTGCAGGTGTGATCTGAATATGAAAACTTCACTTGTTTAATATTAACGCACGTGACTTAGATAAATAAGCAATACTCTTTGGATAAATGTGTAATGTAATAAATGTGTAATAAGTATTTTTTTAAAACGCCAGTTCCAGCTTGACGAGCACATATTATCCCATAAGTTGAATGAAAATGTTATTTTTAGTGCTGTACCTGTACCAAGAGTCAAATTATCGATAGTCTATTTGACTGTAATGGTCTATCCACACATATTTGAGCCATGCCTAGGACGTGGACGAGCCGTGCTCCGTCAGGGCCTCAAAAAATTGTCGTTGCGTATATTTTGTATGAACTCGTTCTCACATGTCCGTGTCCGGGCCGGGGCCGGGACGGGCCCGCAGTTCATACAAACTAGCACGCTCCGGGCACGGCCCTGATGTGTGTGGACAGACCTTAATACTGCAGAAACTCTTGTTGATTCTGTGAAGACAGGAGTCTTCTATCCCACAAAATCTCGATAAAAATAAAAACTACACGAGCTGCCGTTACGAAGAAAACAATGTATTGATTTTTAAGTCGTCGTGACACGGAACACTAGAAACTTAAACTAAAATTCGAAACAATCAGAGACAACAGTAAAAAGGTTTTTTATGCGAAGAACTCTAGGAGCGCTTTTCACCCGCTCCCGCTGCGGCTGCAGGACAGTTGTTTTATTGCAATACTCACGACACCGAAGGCTTGTGCGATCATGTAGCCCCCGCAGTTGCTGAACGAACCGCAAACTTGGCGCGAGATGATTTCAAGTCACGCGATTTTTACGGTCGACCGAGATCGTCACCAGCGAACCGACCGCAAAATGTGCGGATGACGACCGCCAGCGCGCGGGTCTCACGCGGTTCTACTAGTACCCTGCACTGTATTTTACATGCATATCAGTATGTATAATGTACTCTTTGATGCATCTACATTCTACGGAAGCAGCAGTCCTGCAACCGCGGGTGAAAACCGCTCCATGAGTTCTTGTTTTTAGCATTATTAAGATGTGTTATTATTTACTTATTACTATATCAGGCGAACGCGCCGCAAATGCGCTGCATATATTATGAAGCACACACGTTACACGCATGCTTTTCAGTCACATATCAGTTAATGTCACGCAAGGCTAGTTCTAATTTGTGAAACATACTACTGGAATGAAACTGAAGTTGTAATTGCAGTATAACTTTATTGTTATGTATGTAAAAGTGACAGACATGTTAACATTATTTTTCAAAAGACTAGATTGTCTATTAAGGCGAGCCATCAGAGGAGAATCAGGACAGCGCAGCGGGTATTTACTATTGAATAATGGTTTTACAGTAATAAATACAATAATATACGATACCCCTAAGGATATTGTAGAAGAAAGAATGTGCTAATTTGTTACACGATAGGATGTTGTACTTTATCCGATCACATAAATTCCTGAAAAGGGCTAAAATAAAAGCCTAAAACTAATTATTTAAAAATAAACTATCTAACTTTGTACCTAATTTTTATATGTAGATATTTCTCTTCAAGTACTACCATAGACCAATAACTCAAGAGGACTGCTAACCGCGATACAAGACTGCGTAGTCGGATATTTATTATGTATTGGTACACGAGATATCGCTACGAGTACCAAATAGCTATTTTTGTAACTAATTTGATTTACATTGACTAGCTGCAATTTATCAAAGCGGCATTACACAGTATTCTAACAACGGTTTTATTGTCGTGTAGAGAATCAAATTTTACAATAAGCAATGATACAATCTTGAGTCTCACGTATTTTGATTTACAACACTATTATAATAGCAGTGCAATATAATAATATCATAAAGAGGTAGAATCACCACTTTAATATATGATATGTATATACATTTAAAACATATGTGTATATTTAAAACATCAGCTTTTTTAAACTGTTTTCTGTTACTTTTGTTTTTTCTGTCCCCTTCGTCCGAATTATTTTTCTTTTCTGATGCTTTTCGTGAGTAAGTTTCCCCTTTTGTCAGTGCTAAAAACAAAAAACTTAAATCGTTATAGGGTCAGTATCGATACAATTTGTAATTAACTATCGATAATCAAACTATCGATAGCTTTGAAAACACTGTTATTGAATGTGACTTTGACAGTTAGAAGTTTTTTTTTTTTATTTCTATCCGTTGCTTGACCGCGGCATCGTGATAAGTGGACTTCAAAGGATGGATGGAAAAAATGTGCATTACACATTGACTTGCACAAACACAACACGTTTTTATAGATTTACTTCGGGTTTGGGATAAGATAAATAAAGAACAAAATTAAAATTAAAATGTACAGACAGGCAGGAACAAGACACGTCAAACTTGACACTTAAAATTTTATGCATCTCTAGACCGCTCTCGACAGAACTGTTCAAAGTATTAAACTGAGTGTACACTTGGAATGTATATTATGACAAGGCTTCATCACACTACATTGGCAATGCGTTGAATAGCGTTAAGGTTTTAAAAAAAAATGACTAGTTACAATATTGAGATGGTTTTTGATTATTGAATTATTTCATAATCTTTGAGCCAATCTCTTACTTAGAATTAACATTGTTTATATCATTACCGACACATTGCTCTTTTAAACTAATGAGAAGTATGTTCATTGAACATTGTTCAATACCTTCCACGAGGCAAGTCATTAATATAAATTACAGTCATTAATGTAAACAGAAATGAACCTAGAATTGAACATGGAGAAACCCTCGTATTGTAGTACTTACTATCACAGACTACTTAGCGAACTACGTTCTTACTATCGATATCGATACCGGTCTGTATTTGAGTATGATGATAAATAGTTTGGGGCACGAAACGATACTAGTTTTTAGGGTCGTATTCAGGACGATACTCGCTCAAGTTAGGAATTGAGTATGTTTTAAAGCACTAGAAATCATACTTAGTCCTTGCCATTAGGGTCGTATTTCCAGTGCTTGAAATCATACTCAAGTCCTGACTTGCGCATTTAAGTAGAGTTGGAATACGACCCTTACTTTATTTTTTTTAAATTTATTGAGCAATGGCTACGTGACCATCAGCTTAAAACTACAACAAAACAAATAAATGATTTAACTACTTAGCTAACCTAAACACTACAACATAATAATTAATAATAAAAGTAAAGAAAGTATTTACAACGGGCCAAAAGTCTTAATGAAAAAATTTAAAATAATATTATACAAACTGAAATTCTTTAAGAGTCCCTGTACAGTATTTGGTAAACTATCTGAATTTACAATATCTTTACATAAGCAAATAAACAACATACGCTGGAGATTATTAGTTTTTTTAACTACATTTAAATCTAAAAATAAATTTTATATCACACGATAATAAGAGATTTTTAATTATATGAAGCTTTCGCGTGCGGTTCTAAAATCCTGAGACAAAAGTTTAAAGTTTCCAGGATTGTAAAATATTTAAAGTTCCTGACTCTCTAGCTTCAGCAGTAGGCATTAAGCATGCACATAGTTCATTCACATGATAAATTTTACAAAAAAGGGATAATCTTTAATACCTAACAAGAACTTATAAGAAAATTGTTAACTCTCAATACTTTTATTATAAAAATAGTTAAGTTATCGAAAATACTTTGCTTTAATGAAAATTGTCGTGCCCCCAAGCTAGTTTATTGAAATACAATCGGCATAACAAACAAAACAGAGGTTGAGACCATTCTTTTAAGGTTGAATACATGTGTCCATTGACCTACTGTGTCAGGAGGTCCCGCTCTTCCATATTATCTAAAACATATTTTAGTAAAGACGGTAAACAATAAAACAAAAAAGAATTTTTTTTAACGTGTTTTTCCAGTTACAGTTTTATCACAAATTAATTTTTAATTTTAAGTATTAATACGTTTTTTAAGTTTCCTAACTCTTTGTTGCTTGTTTAAGCTGATGGCTCTAAATAAATAATAAGATTTTTTTTATTTTTTCACGCGATCTATTATTGCCTATTATTTTAATTAATTTCTTTATAGGAAGACTAAACATCTAGTCGAAAATTAAATTAAAAATTATTGAATCAAACAAGTAGTGGACCGCAATAGAGAAAATCCCTAAAAAAAACTCTAAAGATGGATTCACAATAAGCACATTCTGGCAATATATTACCGCAAGTTATCGTGTTGCGCGATATGACCTTGAGTTGTCTAATCAGGAGCTGTCGTCGCAATATTATATTGCCAGAATTTGTGTATTGTGAATCCACCTCAATCAAGTCAGGATATGAGTATGGTTTAAAGCACTCGAAATCATACTCAAATCCCTGCCATTATGGTCGTATCACTGGAAATACTACCCTAACCCAGTGTCGTATTTCCAGTGCTTGAAATCATACTCAAGTCCTGACTTGAGTATTGAGTAGAGTTCTGGAATACGACCCATAATGTCGTAAGTATTGCAGTGAGCACTGAAAATCATACTCAAGTCCTTGCCATTAGGGTCGTATTTCCAGTGCTTCAAATCATACTCAAGTCTGCTCAAATCCTGACTTGAGCATTGAGTATATATTCCATATATATTCCATATTCCAGCACTAGAAATCATACTCAAGTCCTTGCCATTAGGGTCGTATTTCTATTGCTTGAAATCATACTCAAGTCCTGACTTGAGCATTGAGTAAGAGACGTATTCTAGAACTCTACTTAATACGACCATTGGACAACAATCCTGTATTGTCTGATTTTTAATCACAACTTTTAACTGGTTTTAACTTTAGAAAGAGAAGACTCAAACTAACTTGGTCTCATTCATACTTACAATTTTCTCTTTTTGAAATAATAGACCGCACTGCCACAACCAATAAAAAATAAGACAAAAAAACAACTTCTGCCATCTGCCAAAAAAATCATCAAAATTCTGAAAAATCCTCCATTGCATTTGAAGTTTTTCTTTTTATTAAAGATTTTAAATTGTCTTGGGTTCTTCGGCGTTCAGTTTCTGTGCGACTGTAGTAACTATATTGTTTGTCTTGAAAAATATTCAGTGCAATGGAAGACAATTCTTCTAGTGATGACGAAATTAAGGATTCTCCTCTGAGCCCTAAACTTGGAGGTAAAAAGCTGAAATTAAATGATGGGAGCTCACAGGACAGTCTTAAGGAGACAGGTACAGTGTTTCTTCTATTTAAACTTCGAGGAACATTTTTATAAAGTAAAATCTGGTGTCCATTTTGACGATGTTTTTTTTCGATAGCTCCGTCGAGTAAAGGGGAAAAAGATGAGAATGTAGACAGTGGGGTGTCGGCAGATAAGTCTGAGAGCATTAGCAGTGACGAGCGGGCGGCTGGCACGTCCACGGAGCCTTCAAATGAGTTCGTGGACGCTGGGCCCTCTTGTAGCAGCGTCAGAACGTTGTTACTAAACTTCCGACGTTCTACACGATCAAGGAATTATAGGAAACGGAAGACTCCGGATAGAGACTCAGATAGCAATGACTCTTCAAGGGATTCTGATGATTTATCAGCTGCTGAAAGCGAGCAGGGATCTCAGAATGAAAATGTGAGTCATTCGGAAGCAGAGAGTGAAGATATGCATAGGATTATGGCCACATTTTCTGATAGATCTTCCGATGGGTAAGTGCATGAAATTTATATTTAGCCATTTCTTTTTATGACACTAAATGATGGGTCGAACAAGTCGTGATGTCCTATCTGAAGGGCACTGCCATTGCGCCCTTAACCCTGGGACAAGTTGAAAAGTCCCATGTGCCTGTAATTTCACCAGAACACTTACCCTTCAAAACTGGAATGCAGGTGGCAGTATGGATGAACTCTTTCACAAGAAGCTCTACTGCAACTAACAATCTAACAAATTATGTCTAATGACTTCCCGATAACTTAAAAGTCCGTAAACCCATCATTGACCCTCAGGTTCTTTTCTCTTAAAAGAAATGGTGAGGTGTACCTTACAAAGTTTTTTATAAGATATTTTTAATCCTGACACAAAAAGAAGGGAGTTATAAGTTTCAAGCTTTTGCATGTTATGTACATCTGTCGGTGACAAGTAAGATTAATGTTAAAAGTGTTTTGGATTTCTATTTGAAAGCTGGTTTAATTAGGATGGTTTCTTCTTTCATGAACATCTCCTCAAAAAAAAACTTCATTGCAAATGACAGAAAAATACAGCAATGTGCTTAGCTCCCAAACAGGCTCCTCTGTACCAGCTAGGTCTTATTTCCGCCAAGTGTTTGCCTCGAAATAACTATAGCTATTATTATTATTAGGGTGGTTTCACTCAGGGCCTATGCGGGCCCTCATCACTGCGAACATTGACTGATCTATTGTGATCACTACTAATTACAGCTCCGACAGTTTTGTGTCCTCTGGGTGTGGCCTGTGCCTAACCAGTATGGAACCTCGTTTTCCCATTAGAAGGCACACCGGGCGAGGAGATACACAGGAGTTTCATCTGCCTCGTGGCAGAATCTATGACAAGGTGAAAAGGCTTATTGACAGTCAAAGATTCCAAATTTCAACCACTGCAAGAAAGTGGCCTACTTGTCAGGTTACTATTGTACATTTAGGAGAGTGTGTTTATTTATTTATTTATTTATTTATTCATGAAAAACCAACAGCTTCTTACATTTAATAAAAAACAGGAATATTAACATAAAGCCAATAACAGGTTTCCACCTATAGCTTCAAACAAATCATACACGAGCATTAAACAAATGAACAATAAACAGTATTTCTTAACATCATGCACTTACATAAATATAACAACCCAATACCTGCGCTAATCATGAATTATTTAATAAAGTTAGGTAAATAGAATGTCCAAGAGTTTGCGCTTTAGCGCATCAACATTACAATTGAATATATCAACTTCCAGGTCATGATTGCTCAGCACACTATCCAAGCTCTTGCTAGCTCTACATAAAAAACTATTATGTCTATAGTTAGTCCTCGCTAAGGGAACTGCAATAGGATGATAGTGTCTCATAGACCGAGTAGGTACAATGAACGAACTATCACCCAATAAGTCAAAGCAGTCAATATTACCATTTATAATGTTTAGAATATACGCAATATCAAAGATATTTCGGCGAATATTTAGAGGTAATAGATTCTGTTTTAGTGTGTTTTAATTTAGTTCCAAAAGACAATTCCTCCTTTGGTCAACTGGAGAGTACAGAACACCCTATGCTTATGTCTTATTTTATCAGTTGGCAGCTATTCAATGCCAGTGGAGTAAATAGGCATTTTTTTTTAGTCACGTGAGATTGTGGTCATGCATGCCTATTGTTCATAATAAAAACGAATTATAATAGTAATGAAGATCAAACTCAAAATACCAATTTTGCTACAATTGCAGAGTACCTTGACATAACACATTGGTTTCCACCATGCACTTTGTACCAGATGTTTTATGATAAGGAGAATGTTAAAATATTTTATAATTGTTGTTTAAAATTGCACTTGGATTCTTTATTAACAATAGACTGTTAAAGTGTTAATATCATCCAAGTTTTTCTACTCTTATATTAGTAGAAACAATCATTACTTCTTAGGTATCTTTATAAGGTTTTTGTATACATTTGTAGTTGTCTACAGTTGTCTAAGACATACTGCTGGTTTTTTTAAACATTTTTATGTTATAATAATGAAAATAATTTGAATTACGGCTGCAAAATAATAGGTATTATCAATTTTCTATTTATCATCATACAGTTTATAGTGTCCGTAAAACAAACAATTAAATAGCAATATATGTAGCAATTATACTCTGTAAAATTTTGCTTGATTAAATGTCTAACTTAATGAACCAACAATCAGTGAAATCGAGAATTGATGAAATATATTAACTGACCTATGACTTCTTTAAATCATTATAATAATTATCATGGATGTAATTTAAATTAACTTGTATGATGGTATGGTTTGCTGTAACGGGCCCTTGTCCGCAACTCGACGTCCAGACGCTTATGTTGCGTGTGGTAGGCGCAGGGTCCAACTCGTGCCACCCAAGCTCTTCCAAGAATCGTACTGCCCTATTTTTTTTTGGTTTGCTGAAGACGAGCGACCTTTGTACTTGCGGCCATTCCTACTCCTTCAAGCACGCTCTGCATAGAGGGCTGTCCGTGCTACCTAGATTGAAAAGGTGTTTATTATATGGACCATAACCCGTTAGAGCATCCGTTAGAATATGCAGCTCTTTTCTTTTGAGCTTAATGAATTTACGAGTTAGACTGGCGTTAGGCATGGGGAGTGCTTCCCTAGCCTGTCTACAAACCGTAAGGGTTGTCCATGTGTTGTTCAACTCGCATGAGTCACTAATAGGCGGCATCCTACGAATAATGGCGAAAAAGCGTGGCAATTTTTTTTTTTGAGACAGTGGAGTCTGAGTAGTTCCCATAAGCGTCGACATCTTCATTTTGATTTTAGGACTTTATACACCCAAGACACACGGCTACAAGTCAATGCTCTTGAACACTTGCCTACAACATCCACTGCAAAGAAGCTCTAGCATTGGATAGTATTCTGAATGCTAACTAGGACTACAGATACATTGTGGTTTCATATGCTGATCATATCACTTTGTAACAGCCCCATGTTTTTCTACATTAGCTTTGATTATAGTGACCTTCCCTATCGACCTTTAGGGTATACGAGAAGGGTATATAACCTGTGCGCGCACAGGAACCTTACAAGATCCGATTCTGACCCTAGATTAGCCAATGTACAGGGTTGTCACAGACCTCTGTCACTTGACTTCATCCGGTTCTCGAGAGACTAGTGTCTCGAGTGAACCGCCCCGGGTGCACGTACAGTATCCTCTCTATTTTCCAGATAGGTACCGGAGCTGTAGGTACGCTCACTTCCCGTAGTGCATTGCACAACTAGCGCTTGCCACCGCTAAGTTGTCGACTCTAAAGTCACCTTTAAGATCGCCAATGTTGTTCTCTAATAGGCACACAAACTCACTCTTGAGGTAAGCTTTAAATGCCTTAGCCTGAGGAAGCAAGTAGTTTTAGTAGCAGTAGAGCTCCTTGTGAAAGAGTTCGTCCAGGGAAGTACTGCCACCTTACCTATTTCTGCCGTCAAGCAGTAATGTTGCTCACATTACTGCTTGACGGCAGTGTCCCTAAGATCTTTGCGATTTAAAGCTCTGAGTAATACTGTAACAGCACGGCTTGTTCGTCCCGTTGCTTGATATCAGAAAAGAATAGGCGATCTTGTTCTCATCGTAGAAAAGACGATTTTGTTCTCGTTGTAAGTCCAACGGAGTTATATAAATTACAATAGCCATTGTAAAGAGGATGGTGATGTCGTAATAAACCAAATGTAGCCGTATTTTCGGCACAAGCCGAAGATTTGTCTCGAGTTCTACATTTCCTTTCTGCTGGTGCTAATATTGGCCTGTTATCTGTTAGCGTCTTGTTTAGATTATAATATATATTTTGCTTATGTTTGTATTTATATATATAAAGTTCATGTAGGTGTGTATGTCTGTCATAATATGTATATATTATCATCCTTTATATGTATATATATATTATTTTTATAATTAAATTTTTTTTTTACTCACATTTAAATTTTAATTTTATTGTACAATAATTAGTCCCGCAGACTTCATTTTTCACCTAGGCTAGGGTTGGCTGGAAGAGATCTCTTCTAGAAATAAGCTCACCTTTGTATATGTCCTTTATAACATGTGTTTCATGTATCTTTTCTTTGTGCAATAAAGAGTTATTATTAGCGTCTGTTTTTTCTGTTATCATTTTCTTTCTTGAATTTTTGACCACCATCGCTAAAAATTGTAACAACACCTTCGACGCTTCAAAAATATAGCTGCATAATAATCTTTATATTTCCAGTACAAATAATTCAGGCTCCGAAAGCAACGATACAAGCTATTCAACGGATGATCACATCCAGATGCAGTCAGGGGATACAGACAGTGATGAAGATGCGGCTTGGAACCGCTCCAACGACGACAATGATGAAAACGATGATGATAAGACTAAAACGCCTAGTGTTTTGAACAAACAAAGGCCTAAGCACAATTATTTATTGTTGAGGGGTAAGTTTCTTAGCTCTCAGGTTCCTTAGGGGCCAGCGTAAAATGTATACCTTATTTCAATTGTTATAGCGTCACCTTCTCCTTAAGAAAAAAAACAACAAACAACGCCTATAATGCCACTGTTTTCTGTGATAGCCCACACCTGTCATCAACAAAATGATAATACATGTACCTGCACGCGCATCCACAAAGTTGACAGTATAAAGTACTTAGGTGTAATCTTGGATAACACCTTAAGTTTCCAGGAGCACATCAACACTCTAAGTAATAGACTACGTAAACTTGATGTGCGTATTTAGGACACTAAGATTTGTGGCCGATGAAAAAATAAGGAAAGTAGTTTACTTTGCTCTCTGAGTCCTGGTGACCTGAAATACAGACTTACGTCTAGTTTAGGCACGCAGTCTCCTACAGTATAATTCTTGTTTTTATTTATTGTTTTTGTTGTCATGCTCAATATACCTATGTTGCGGTGAGAAAATAAACATGGATTTAATGTCCTCTGTCTTTCGGTTCGCCTCTTTGCGCTTTAAGAAATAAACAAGACGAAAATTAGGAAAGATTGGAAAACACGTTCAAGTTTGCTAGTGCACGCAGTACTGCCCTTTCAAAAGGTAACAACTTTTGAAAGGGTTGCGTTTATTTTCTTTATTATCTTAGAAAACTTTGTTACATCACGTCTGTTTTTCGGCCACTAGCGGCTCTGTCTGTGTTTCCTTAGCACTTAGGGCGGCTAATTGTTCTGATGTACAATATTGCATTTTACTAGGTTCTCAACCAATGTATTCTCCAGTGCGTAGATTCTCCTGCTTCAACCAGTCATGAAGATGTTTAAAGTATTCCAACAGTCCATCAACCTTCATGTGTCGTTGGCTAGTGAGGACTTCCATCGCGTCCGGCCATGGTTTCGAGGAACCCATTTTCAGCATTTTAGAGCGTATCCAGCTGCAACGCTCTGGTAAATGTCGCAATCCAAAAGTTTCTTAGTAGGATCCGCCGGATCGTACTCTCCTGCAGTTTGGCAAAGATCGCGGTGGAATTGGAACTGAATGACGAAAGACACGTAGTATTTGGCATATTCCGCATCAGCAGACACGTGATATTTAGCTGTAGCAATAAAATCTCTCTGTTTTTAAGTCTGAATACATATGTCTTTCATAAGAATGAAGTAAATGAAGGTAGTCTTATTATAGTATGCCTATACCTAGCAGAGATGATGATGAAATTAGATATTTTTATTTAATTTAGATGAGTTACAAATTCTACTCCGAGAGTACTGCCCAGAAATTGAACGGTTGAACCAATAAGATCGTTCTCAGCATTTCAGTTTCGAGCGTGTTAACTTAGTTTTTTACGGAAATTTTCAGAAATAATCAACCGCGAGATGGGGCTGACATTTCCCTGCGGTAAAACGGCGAAAACCGATGTAATGTTCGAGCAGAAGTTTTATGGATCTCTACATGCTGTTTATAGGCTGAAAAAGCTTCACCAACTGCATAAACATAAAGGCTGTGTTAATTCTATAAATTTTCACCCGGAAGGTAAGATGTTGTTAAAAGTTAGGGAATGAATCCCACACGAAATCAAATATATTACATATTGTAACTCAAAATTTTGGAATCCAGAAAACACGATTTAAAAATAAATGATTGCAACTTTTTTATAAAAAGTAACCTGACTTCAATAGTTCGTGGAATTACATCTACTTGCCAAGGTTTTTTTGAAACCGGTTACCGGAAAATGCGCGAAACCGTATTCATCCCCTAATTTGCCACCCTTTGAAGTGGAATGTTTTCTTCCAATTTAAATGGTTTCATCAAAATCGGTTCACAAATAAGAGTTATCGCGTAACATACATGAAAAAAAATACAGTCGAATTGAAAACCTCCTCCTTTCTTTTGAAGTCGGTTATAGGAAAATGCGGAATGGATTGGGAATAATTTGATTATTTTTATTTATGCATAATATTTAGGTATCCATTTATAAACGACAATTATATTTATTGGTTTCATTCAATCATTTTTTTTAACCTGTCAAACCATGTCTTCTCGATTATACAATTTTGAGTTACGACAGTATTTGGTTTCATGTGCGAAATAGAACCGAATCATTTAATTCATATTATCAATGTCACAATATTACAATTCAAATACAATGTCAAGGGATAATATGATCATCACTAACGCAAACAATTAATAATTAATATAAAACAAAGTAGTATAACTGCTGCCTGTCGAAATACAACGAAGTCAAGTAAAACAAAATTACGATTGTTCAAAATATACTAAGGGTCGTATTCTAGAACTCTACTCGATGCTCAAGTCAGGATTGCAATGGAAACACAAGCACTGGAAATACGACCCTAACGGAAGGAACTTGAGTATGATTTCGAGTGCTTTAAACCATACTCAAATCCTGACTTGAGCATTGAGTAGAGTTCTAGAATATGACCCTAAGACTATGTCATACAGTGAGCATAAATAATACTAGAGACGCAATGTCCTTCAAACAGTTGTCTAAAATGTGGGACCACTTTGCAAATTTAAAGACTAGCTTTGAAACTGGTTGAAATTTAAAAGGAAAATATATTTGTCTATTTTTTCTAATGTCTAACTTATAATGTCAAAATGAGATAGTCATAGTGCAGTAAGGGATACGACCAGTGTTACCGGTTTAGAAACAATTTTACCTTTTTTTTTTTTTTGACGGTGGGAAATCTTTATGGATACCCCTGAGCCCAGGGAGACTCAGGGGTTATGTGGGGTCTCTCCCTCCAGACTGGAGGGCCTACTGGGAGGGTTTCCCTCTCGCCGGTTGAGTCGGCGCCGTGGGATCAGTGAACATTCACCACGACGCCGCCCGGTAGAAACAATTTTCCCTAATTTCTTGTAGCCTTACTGGTGGAAAGAGACAGTGGAGATAGATAGTAATCAGAAATGGAATGAATGAACGAGTGAGTGAAATATACATGAAAATGTATGAACTCAAGGGTCCAAGCCTGTGATTCGTAGTTGTTTTAAAATATGAAAAGATGACTTTCTAATTCATTGCTTTTCTAGATTTTCTTTCTTTTTATTTTTTATTTATTGGATAAAGTTGATAAAAATACTGTCTTCCGACGAAGGTTCTGTTTCTATTTAACGAAAACAAATTTATATGGGGTAGGTATTACAAATTACTTGATACACAAATATATAACTATAGTTTATTATTGCACCATTACCTTGTTGTACAATTGCCTTGTGTTTTGTTACTCAAAGTTTGTTTTCGTAAAAGTCGTATAATTTTTAACCACTCCGCCCTGCGCGTTCGATCTTTAGGTATACTGGGAAACAAACAAAATACCATTTTTAATATTATTACGTATTAATAGTATTATGTTTACACTTTAAACTTCAGAAAGGTTAACTCCCAATATTATGGGCAAATGAAAATTGATTTACTGGCAACATTGATGTTTAAAATAAATTTATTTCATTTTTATTTACGACAATCTAAACAAACAAAAGCAAACTTACCTATGGAAAGTAACCTCAGTAGTTTTATGATCATTTTCGAACCGAGAATTGCAAATTTTAATTACATATTTCACCATTTTTGATACTTTTTTGTCACGTCTCGGTGACCTTGTACTCACTCGAAGATGGTGACTAATGTCACTGTTGCCTGTGGAGAACAGTGCCGTGGGTACCGTTTGAAGGCGCAGATTGCGCATCTATTGTTTACAAGTATAATATCATTAATGTCATACAAATATCTTTTATAAAGTTCAACTCGGAAATTTCGAAAATACCGCGAGTCTCGACGAATTTTATATTTGTGAAATTCGAAACCGATGTCTTCAGTCTCGGAAACATCTTAACGTAGACCGCACGCCCGTATCCGCCGCCGCGCCCGCACCTTCGCTCTGAATGAGCCCTACTTTCCGATTTTTCGGCGCCACTACAAAATCTTCCCAATTCCTATCACTTATAGTAATCTGTGTCCATTCATCGATGTCATTGCAACACGTAGCCAATAATAAATCTGCACCAACTTTGTATCTCATTTCCATTTGTCTTGTGGCGAATGATTTGACGATTTCGATCAAGGTGAGAATGAGTAGACATTGTTTAAACAATCATGCTCAGTCCTCGAACATATTTTATGAACGTCTTTCTGTAAAATAGTCTGCTTATAATAATCATAGTTGACATATTATAAGTCTACACTAAGGCCTATTAACTTAGTCGCAAAGAAAAAATAATAATTGAAATAGGACTATATAGCACATGTTTACCACAAACAAAAGTAGTTAGTTTGTAATGAGAAAACAAAGATTAAAACGGCTATTGTGTTGTATTGACTATCTGCAATGGCTTAATAGATAAAAACTAGCAATAATTAATCTACTTACTTATAATAATGACAATAAACGTTATCGCCAGAATGACTAGACCAAACGAGATACGCAAACCAAACTGTGTGCATTATTTGCTACATATAATAAAATATTGACTACTCCACTATTTATTATTTGGTTTATTACACTACCTAATTTCAAGGGTAGTGTAATAGACGCTTTATCTAAATTCTCCATTATATTACATTACCCTTATTCTAACTTAATGAGGAGTAGTAATAATTAGGGATTTAGGGGTTTCGCTTTCTGCAGCGCCCTCCAGCTAGGGCAATATAATAACGCTTATGACAGTTAGGGAGATAAATCGACGCGAGATGAACCCTCAGAGCTATCGTATCGTTAGGTCCTTCTGGTTCGCTCGTATATCGCTATTTTTTTTTTGTATGTATGTTACGCGATTTGTGAACCGATTTTGAAGATTCTTTTTTTTGTTAGAAAGAGGGTATTTAAATTTGAAGAAAAAATTCCACCTCTAAGGGTAGCAAACTAGGGGATGAATCCGGTTTCGCGCACTTTCCGGTAACCGATTTCAATAAAACTTGGCAAATAGATGTAATTTTTTTTTATCAAAAAGTTATAATTATTGTGTATCAGGTCCCTATTTTCATTAGCACCGTTCATTCGGCACCATTTCATTCAGTTACTTTGTTAGCAATTCATATTTACTGACTTTTGTTATTATTACGTTTTTTTACTCATAGTACTCACTATTATAAATGAAATGAAAAATTTCTATCTTTACATTTTTAATCTGTTTCAAGACTAGCACTATAAAAAATTTAAAGCAGTAGAGTTCCCAAACATTAAATGGAAACTTTTTCTAAAATAATTGCATAATATTATCCTGTCATTTGTAAATGTCATTTGTCACCAATTCTCACGATGTTCTCCTTTACTATAATTTGTTCACTGAAGAAAAAGGTTTACGATCACTGCTTTTTTGTTTACGTTTTTTCTAAACATAAAAAAACGTACACGGATTATACATGCTCGATTAGAAAACACCTACAATATTGTCAATGGGATGATATTATAATGAAGTGCTTGCCCGTGATTGATCATTTTAAACCAAGAAACAAACTCTTCAACAGGCCACCTTCTGGCGTCAGGTTCCGACGACACAAACGTAGTAATCTGGGACTGGGCGCGCAACGCCCCACTAAGCGTGATCAAGACGGGGCATAAATCAAATGTGTTTCAAAGCAAATTTCTGCATCTCAACTCTAGGAGTCAATTGAATATCGTCACTTGTGCAAGAGACGGGCAAGTAAGTGTTTTTTTTTTGTAGTGTTAGACGAGTTGGTTTAATTTTTTTACTACATCTTTTTCTTGGATTGATAAAATAAAACAACTATATGCACACACATTCACACACGAACATACACACGTGGACACACCATCCTTACGTGGGGTCCGAATGTAACTTGATTGGTTAACAAACGGTTGCTACAGTACCGGCACGCTATGATGGCCGTTTTGACGATTACAATAGTTAGGTCAAATCTCAATTCATTATCGAAAAAAATCTATAATATAAATAAGCGAGTCGCATCTATAAGTTTTTAGATTAATAACTAGTATTGCAATGGGTTGCTGATTAAAAACTTTTAATAAAACTTTGAAAATAAAAATGTTCACTTGATATTCGTCAATTCGAAAGTGCTTTGTTTTGCATTGAGCTTTGACGCGAGTTTGCCGGAAGTAGAAGTTGTGCTGGCCAGCGATCCCATAAGGACGATAGTATTAGACTTCATTTTAAAAAATTTCGAATTTCGAAAAACAAATGCATAGTTGTGTCGTAAAATTATAAATTTTACGCGTTACTATAAGGTGGCTAATTTACAGGAGGTACATTGTTGTACAGCTATTAGCTCCTTCAACGTAGTTATGAATTAATACGAAACTTGATGAGCGGACAAACGTCAAAACGGCCACCATAGGGTGCCGGTACTTTAGTATGTTTTTTTTATAATATTAAGTGACAGGACCAACAAGTCGTGCACCTGATGGTAATCTACACGCCTGTCCATAATAGTCTAATTTCGCTTCTCTTCAAAACTATAACGCAATAATGCTGACATTACTGCTTGGCGGCAGAAATAGGTAAGGTGGCAGTACTTCCCTGGACGACTCTTTCACAAGGAGCTCTACTGCTGCTAAAATGTTGGCTATCAATAACAACTTCTTATTTTTCAAATTTTATGAGTTTCCGGAAAATTTATGCCCTCAGTATGGGCACTGAATGAGGAGGTTTTGGAAAATGAACTTTTCTACGCATTAAAAATGAAAGTATTATTTTCGATTTGTAGAAAATGCGTATAGGTATTGTAATGTCTACTCAGCCGTGTTTGGATGAAACTTTAAAGGACCCGATTAAATATGGCGGCAAATAAAAACTTTTCTCACGCATGTCAAACAACAACTGTAGCTTTTATTTTTTATTTATAGACAAACTAGAACCGGCCCCAACGATCATATCGTTCGATATCAAGTAACGTGTGAAATTATCAAAATTGTTTGCTATTGACATTTCATTTCGAATAAAAGTTCATCTCGACTATATTAGAATTGAGGTCCAATCAAATTGTTTTGTTTTTCAGAGATGTTCGAAATTTGATTGTAATATTTTTTTTAATTAATATTTTTAGCTTGGATACAAGTACTTTGAGCCACGTCTTCATTTAATTATCGGGATCCTCAGTAATATTTTCTATTGTAGTTCCAATTCTAATACAGTATATTTTCACTTTCTCTTAAAATAACTTAGTTCACTTATTTGGGTTTTTTAAATAGTCTTTTAAGCGGCGGGAGTCATTGTAGTTTTACCTTTAACTTAAATTACATTTTCATCACTTTCAATAAAAACTTTGAATTCGTAAGTAGTGGGATTTTCAGGATAAAGTATTTTGTAATTTGGTTTAAAATAAGGAATATGCATAGTTCTAACTTTCACTAACACTATTTCTTTCTCCGTTTTTTCTTCATAATATACTTACTTAAAATAAAAATAGTCTTTGTGAAAACTGTACTCGTAACTTCAAAATCCCGCCATTTTCCGATTTCCGATTGTAATAATAACATCGATAACATCGATTTCGATGTTATTAAGAAGCAATAATAACATTTTCACAGGTATCACATTTGTTCTAACAAAACAGTTTACCTTTATGCTGGTCGTGATTTGCGGTTTTTTAACACATCATAGAGTGTTTATGATACGTGTGTAGATAAAATAAACAAATAAAATAAAATCTTCGATGGAACGAGGTGCCCATTCCGTCGCACCTTGAACACGGCCGGTGGTCCGCAGGTGCGCCTGCTGCAGTGCCCGCCCAGCGGGGCGGCGGGCGAGGGCGGCGCGTCGGTGGTCCGGCGGCGGCTGGCGTCGCACTCGCGGGCGGCGCACAAGCTGCACGTGTGCGCGTCCGAGCCGCACGTCGTCGTGTCGGCCGGCGAGGACGGCGTCGTCATGCAGTGCGACGTGCGGGCTGGCCACGGCAGCAGGTCAGTCGCCGTCCGTTTTTATGTTCCGAAACCGTTAGTTTCGGTCATGGATATTAGAGATGTACGCGAATATTCTGCTATTCGGTATTCGGACACTTTTCAACGGACTTTAAATAAGGAGGAGGTTCTCAATTCTAGTTTTAGAACAGATGGAAATAATTAAAATAAGTAACACTGGGGATAGTAGGGCCGAGAGTCGAGCGATCAAGAACACCTGAGGATGCCTCGTGGAGACGCGAAACACGTGTCGGGTATATTTTTGATGGTGGTGATTTGTGACTGTAGTTGCGTTTGTAACAAATTAATTTACTTCTATTATTGCTTCTCAATTCGACTTTTTTTTTTGGGTATGTGTTACGCGGCATATGTAAACCGATTTTGATGATTCTTTTTTGTTGGAATGAGGGTACCTCGGTAGTGGTCCCATTTCAATTTGAAGAAAATATTCCCCTCTAAGGGAGGGTGAATCTAAATCACACTAGAGGATGAATCTGGTATTGCGCATTTTCCGTTAACCGATTTTAATAAAACTTGGCAAATAGATATTTTTGTGGTCCCTTTTTTCCCTTCGGCCGCGATCATAAAAAAACGCATATATTTCTTTTCTATTTTAATCACAAATTATTGCTTCAATATTTAAAATCGAAAAGGAAACTGCTTTTTTTTATTAAACATATTAACTGCCTCCGTGGTCGAACGGTCACCATGCAGGACCGCCACGCAGAGGTCCCAGATTCGATTCCCGGGCCGGTAGAAATATTTGTATGGCCTACATTTATTTATCTCTTGAGTTTGGGTGTAATTTTTTATTGTCTATGTGTGTGTCCATGGCACCCGCGATACGGGGTTTCCCTAGTACGGGGCTTTGTTGAGTGTGTGCGTTACTATTAATGTATAATCACTACATCACTACATATTATCACTACAGCGTCTGTCTGTCTATCTGATCGCGATAAACTCAAAAACTAGTGAACGGATTTTCATGCGGTTTCCACCAGTAGACAGTGATTCATGAGGAAAGTTGAGGTATATAATTTATTTAGGTTTTGTGTAAGTTGGCTGAAAACACTACATATTATCACTACCGCGACTGTATGTCTGTCTGATCGCGATAAACTCAAAAACTTGAACAGATTTTCATGCGTTTTCCACCAATAGGCAGAGTGCAGCTATTATAGTTAACTAAATATCTGAATCGATTTCGATAAAAGTTGGCAACGAAGTAAATTTATTATGTAGTCTACCAGTAATAGGATGAGTGCTGAGAAAGGGGCTTCTGGTACTGATTGCATGGCCTAGGGACCAAGGGCGGCCAAAATTGCAAATCCGCCACTGGAAATGGGTAACATGGCATTACTTCCCTGGACGAACTCTTTTACAAGGAGCTCTATTGCTACATAATGCTACATAAGTTTGGACAATATCATGGCATATATATTACTCTTCTAATTCTTTTTGTAAATTTGTAATAGGTATCAGAAACGTAATTATTTTGTTCATAAATCATACGTATCAACAGGTACTTACCAAACTTTATAATAAATCGAATTTGGATAGAGTAAATGTATTACATCTATTCATTGACTTACAATTATATGGACGTCGGGTCCGCGCTAAAAAGTGTCCGAACTTATAGGGCGTTAAAATCGTATACAGAGCGTCATTCACGCTTTAGTCTTCGTTTGTTCGACTGTCAGCGAAGCAAGCAAAATTAGACAGTACTGCAATGACATTACAAATTAAATTCAACGTTTTAGCTTTTTCATATTCCTTTACATGTCACTACGTTTAAATAGGTTGACTTGGGACATTTTTTTCGTGGTTTTTGTATTAGACCCGTCGTCCATTTATTTGTAAGTCAATGCATCTATTGATATGTCTGGTTTTGAAGGGTATGGGTTTTGTCAACTTCACGTCTCAAGGTGACGGATGCAGTTGAGTTGACCGATTGAAAATTTTACGTAGAAAGGCCTGATTAAATTAAAAAAGGAAAAGTTTTTAGTGCTTTATTGCCATAATACAAAGGGCAGGCGTTAGCACTTCTTGTTAAAATTTTCAATCGTTTATATTATTTTAACTATTATAGATAAAAAGCGTAAAAAAAAAAGCAATTATTGGTAATACATACTTCTGGAAAATCTGCTCCCTGAGGCAGAATGGCTGGTCAATATTTTTTTAATTTCTCAGAATATATCAAAGGTAGCAATTATTTAGAAAAGGTAGCAAATATGGGACTGGCGACCAGCCATCCTGATGGTCACGATTTAAAGCTCTGAGTAGTGCAATTGTTATACATTTCAAAGTCAAAATCGAATAACCTTTATTTCATAGATTATCAAATTACTCTTGAATTCGTCATACTAATTAAACTCTACTGCTCATTCGTAAGACAGATTCCCCTGAGAAGAATAAGCAAGAAACTCTAGGGGTTGCTCTTTGTAAATATACATTTGAATACATTTATCATTACAATATTTCATTTAAACACTTAGATCGAGACTACCTGCAACAGGTAAACGGGTCACTACCACGGATTTTTGTCATCCAAGCATGCAGAAGCTGTATACTAACCTTTAGTATAACGTTTTTGTTTCACTATAGTTGTAAACCTCGTAAATGGCTTATTTTGAATATCAATCGGAGTCTTATTATAGAAACATACATTGCCCGGTAAATGAATTAGACTTTGTGAAGACGACTGTGAAGAACAGCAATTTGTATTCCAGATTGTTCCAAGTGAAAGACCACATGGTGACCATACCACTGTATAGTGTGGCCGGCCACCCTCTGGACCCGAAAGAGCTGCTCGTAGCTGGCCGGGACAAGTTCGTTCGCATATATGACAGACGCAAGTCAAACAAGCCTATAGCCTTATATTGCCCGTCTACTTTTGAACAGCATCTTGTAAGTATAGCTATCTTTACCATTCCGTTGTATTTATAGAACAGATGGCCGATGGGACGCAGCGTACGCAGACCAATGACCTGACGTAGGTTTCAGGAATTATATCCAGCAGTGAACGTCATTCATCTGAAGAGATGATGATGATAATATGATATTTAAAAAAGGGCAGTGTTAAGGTGCTTTTCCATCAGTGAGGCGAGACGAGAATTGCCGGCCTATTTCCACTAAAAGTTGCCATTAATAGCTAGCTCTCGTTGAGGTTGCGAGTAATAATGTAAAAATATTAAAATACCAATAAGTATTGTAAATTACTTGGTTGATACATTTTGTAAATCCGACTGAAGGACACTGCAATTATCTGCATAAAAGTGACCTTTCCTTTAAATTATATTGTAAACGCTTTAAAACAAGATACCTGACCCTGAAGCCGACTTTGTTATTATCTAGAACTCCTTGTGAAAGAGTTCGTCCTGGGAAGTACTGCCACCTTACCTACCGCCAAGCAGTAATGTCAGCATTACTGTGTTTCGGTTTTGAATAGTAAGGGTGCTGGTGAAATTACATGCATATGAGACAACTTACGTCTCAAAATGACGGGCGCAGTGGCAGTGCCCCAAAAAAATAATTTTACGATTTAAAGCTCACATAAAACTAAACATACCCCTTTAATATTAATAGCTGTCGCGAGCTAATGCGGGCTCGTGGGAAGCGTGTTTCCGTTTCAGATAGTTATTTAAACACCATGTTGTCAGCAGGTTCAATATTATAACAAAGAATATTCCAATTTTTGTGGCTCGCACATTCTTGTAAAATTTTGCTTTACAAATTTCAATCCTCGTCTCGCCTCGTCGGTGGAAAAGCGTCTTTAGCTCAGTGGGAGAAGGGTTGCTTCTGAAGAGAAGACGGCGGTTCGCATCCCTTTTAATTTCAAAGATACGTAGATTTTGTAATTACACTATCTCTAGCTTTACGGTGAAGGATGAAACCTGCGCGCCGAAAAAGGTTCACAACTTTTGGAAAACGTGTGAAGTCCCTAACTCGCATTGAGCCAGCATGGCGGACTATGGCCTAAACAAAAGGTTCCCAAACTTTTTTGTTTGGTATACCACGCGCCAATATTTTCTTTTTTGCGTAGACCACTGCCTTTCTAACATTTTTTTTTTTTTACAAATTCATCAACTTCAAACGTGTATTTGACACATTGCAGTGATAAACTTTGTTTTAAATAAATTATGTTAAGAGTCGTTACAAGCTCAAATGGATTCCACGTAACAGTGAAAGTGTTGAATCAAACACTTTGGCAAATATATACAGTAAAATAGAGGATATACACTGATTAGTATACGGTGTGAAAACCCGATTCCTAAAAGTTTTCACGATAGAAAAAACCACAAACTTACCTCGAAATTTTACAAGAAACCAGCTGTATTCAATTGATACTCGACATATATCAATGATTTTTTTATTTCAACATAATTTCTATTTAGTTATCACGTATTATACGATATACATTTTTACTGGTTTTAAAGTCAGTATCGAGTCTTAAGTTTTATACATTTATCTAACCAAATATCTTGTTTGTTGTGAAATGTTTAGGAACTTCATATGTCTATCATAGAAAAATATAATGTATTTACATACATAGGTACAAATCTGTATAATGTGGATTATTCCATTTATGGAAAGCCAAATTTTTGTTCGCGACCTGCCTAAATAGGTTCCACTCTCGTGGAACCTCATTAACGTTTCATGCACCCTCTGTTTATTTCACTCACATTTACCCATGGGGGATCGATAAATATAAATAGTTTTATTTTCTCTAAAACACGTTCCTCAGCGCGGAGTCTGTAGAAACCCGTGTTCCATCAGCCCAAACCTTATTAAAAACCATTGTTAATAAATAACAATGTCGTCTTGGTTTTTCTAGGGCAATTCAAAGAAGAAAGTGCGGTTATCGATGATGCACCTCACGTGTGCGGTGTATAACCACGACGGGACAGAGATTCTAGGCTCATACAACGATGAGGACGTGTACCTGTTTGATACCAAAAATGACGTATACGACAAGTAAGTTACGTTTGCAGTGAATCCTGAACAGTGTAGTAAAACCAAGAAGAACGGAATACATGCTCCTGGATACTTTATTTATAAGATCAACAGCTTAAAACTGATTTAGTACACATCCGTCACATTCCAGTTTCGTCAGAAATAGTTCTGTTCAGGTTCGTCAGGAATGACGGATGTGGACAACCAATAACGACACTTTCGTCAAATTCCGCTTTTGTCATATGGATTTAGTACATATCCGTCAGATTTCTCTTTCGTCAGATTATTTGTTTTTTCCGTATAGATCAGAAATTTACTTATGTCCTTAGTATGTTTACCTTTTTGAATAAATTACTGGCCACACAATATTATTTATTTTTTATCTATGATTAAATTGAAATGGCCTTTACAATGCCATTTCTTGACTAAATTTTGATGCCAATTTTGTCAGGATTCGTTAAGATACACCCGCCATTCTGACTCTCACAAAAAAGAACTGACAAATTATGACAACAGCGGAATTTGACGAAAGTGTTCATAAAAAAACTATTTCTGTCGAAAGCGGAATCTGACGGACAAGGAACGACGATAATTATTGTTTCGTTACCCGCAAATTTCTGACCTATACGAAATAAAGAAATGATCTGACGAAACTGGAATACGATGAGTACTAAATCTTAAAACTAATAGTACATTATGTTTTAAGGGCGGTAAATGGGGAATTACGAACGAGACTGTATCAGAAACCAGAAGTCGAAGACTAGGGCTTTCGGAGTCGAGGGTCGTAATTCCCGTACCGCCCGTGTTACATACAATGTTTCTCATTACATTTGCGAGGAAATAAATAGAAAGATAAATGCAGGAAAACTAAATATCGCTTCACAATTAACGATATCTATGTACAAATGTGTACAACACAATTACGGATTTTGCAAACGTTGAGTTTATGATGTATAAACCCACACCCTTATTTTAGTGCCTTTCATTACGTAACAGTCACATAAACTACTGGAACTGTGAATGTCAGTTAATAAATATTTCATATCATAATTTATTTATATATGTCTAATATGATTACGAATTAGTTCCTGTATTAAAGCGAGGCATTTCAACGCGAGCCTAAATTTTAGGAGATGAGGTGTATAGGTGTATATGCCTCACGTCTCGCAATTCGCACGCGGTAAATTAATTTTTTACCTATAAGTGAAGTTCGATCATAATTATACAAAGCGCTTCGTCCGAAGAGATTAGCAGCTCGTCCTCCCATATGACATCCCCGGTCATGAAATATTTTTCCAGTTTTTATCTCGTGAACTAAATGAAGACCGAGTGTTTATATGTTTTTGCCCTCAACTTAGTGTAGGAAGTGGCCGCACGTATGCGTTACTACAAGTACCAATCTCATGCTAATCTCTTCGGACGAAACGCCTCGTATAATTATTGTCGAACCTCATTTACAGTTCAAGTTCGTTTAATCATTAAATTATAATGTACACTGGGTTATTTAATCATAGGAACAATATTGTTTGGATCTAATGCACACGATGTCACTTCTGACGGACAGCTTGTATTGTATTTCCCATTTATTTGCTTACAGAGAAAACCCTACCGAAAAGGAAGGCTTTACACATAGATACAGTGGCCATAGGAACAGCGTAACATTCAAAGGTGTCGCATTTTTCGGGCCCAAGAGTCAATACATAGTTTCCGGGTCGGATTGTTCAAATATTTACATTTGGGAGAAAAACTCCGAAGCTATCGTGCAATGGATGAAGGGGGACCATAATGGCGTTGTAAGTATGAAGTATTATTACGGAACAAATAAGTACACAGGTTTCAAATAATACGTTTTTGATCTTCATGGCGCCCAGTTACACGATGTAAAAGTTTTCGTGCGGCGATGAAATTCGTGTCAAATGAGCGCGCCCTTAGGAGGAGAAGAAGTTTCTAACTTCTAAATTCGCGTGCAATGAAATGTCAACGTTCACACATTTTGGAATATACGTAAATATCAGATATTTCAAAAATAAATGCCTTGCCTCGTGTTCAAAAATATGTAGTCATGATACCGTTTTAAAAAAGGTATACTTTTATTTCAGAGAAAAGTAAATCAATGAAAAGTATACACTTCTTTAGGGCTAGCACGACAGGGTGGTACTTGCGTTAGAGCGAGTTAAAACGTGCGATTTCTATGTGAGAATATCGTATATCGCGCTTTATGTCACTCTCGCGCAAGTCGCGCCCTGTTGTGCTACTGATGTTTTATATATGTATCCATAACATTTTCGTATTTATATACCTAATACATATTTGATTATTATATTTCATTAATACAAGGATATTGTAAATTAGTGAACAAAACTCATATGAAGTAATATTTTTCGTAGTACAAAGATAATTTATATACAAAATACTGACAGTGGCCAAATTTGAGTTCGAAAAGTCCCTCCTGTAGCAGTTGGTATTTACGGGCAGAATAACCTCTTAAAATTTCCTGAAGTAAAAATGTCACCCCGTGTATTCCTGACGCCATATTTGAATGTCACGTTGCAGGTGAACTGCATAGAGCCTCACCCGCGCTGTCCCGTGATGGCCACAAGCGGGTTGGACAACGACATCAAGGTGTGGATCCCCAGGAACCACAAGGATCCCGACTTCGATGGCCTGGAAAGGGTAACATGCCTTTCGATACATATATTCGGTCCAACCATTTATTATACTTTTGACATAAGCGTCCGTATGAAGTTCTTTAATTATCGACAAGCAACCATAGACAAAAAAAAATCATTTCTTCATGGACTCTTTTTTTTACTATAGTAAGGCACTGACAGATGATGTAACGAAGATTATTCAAGTTGATTTCTCCGTTGTATAGGGTTTACTACCTGTCTAATAAATGTATAATGAAAATAAATAAATTTATATAATTGTAATAAATTTTAATGGTTGATGCCTTACTCTCTCAAACTCGTATCGTTTATAGAGTTTATTTTACTGAGTAGTATTCAGGAGAAGGCAAAACTTTCTATTTATTTTAAATTTCATACCAAGGGGGTTAATTTGGATACATTATTTTAAGAATAGGTAGAAGCCAGTGTGTAAATATAAAGGAAATGTGATATGATATTAGCCTGCAAAATTTGTATTTACAATAGCATTTTTTGCATTTCACTAACTTTGTGTTTTAAGATACGAGTTTGAGAAAGTAAGACGCAAGGTCATTGTGTTCAACGAATTCATTGTGAATTAAAATAATGATTAAAACTTCTTCATAAAATAAAATGGTTGGACGGTGTATAACTTGTTTATAACTAACCTTTGGACAAACATTCACCTGCTTTACATAATGTATTTTAACTATTTTAATTAAGAGACCTGAGTTTTACAACTTTATTGAATAATTCCGATGAAGAAGCTGTGGTAGATTAATGGTTTGACCTACCTTTCAACCGACCGGGAGACCGGGATTCGGACCCGAGCACCTATGAGTTTCGCAAAAGTTATTTATGCGAAATTGAATTTGAAATTTACCGTGAGCTTTTCGGTGAAGAAAATCATCGTGATGAAACATATGTGTCGAAGGTTTACAATCCTTGGAAAACGTGTAAAGTCTTCAAATTGAATACACGCAGTAAATCTTTATTTATGAATATATTCCTCGTTTCTTATTAAAAAGTACCTCTCGCAATTTGATAACAAAAAAATTACTTGACTGTCATTTGTTTGAATTTTCCACAAATACAGATTTGTCTAGTGGTACGAGCTTGATTTTGTGTTCTTGTAAATTTGGTAAAAATTTGGCGAAAAAGTTTAATTGTTAAAGTTTGATTTAATATATATAATTATAACTATTTTTAAATTATCCGCTGTTTCTGCTTTGTCACAATATCTAAATAGTTGCATTTTCTTTAATTTTCATTTTTTTATGTAAAAGTTGATTGGTATTTGGTTGGTTGGTAAAATATCGCACCCCCATGGATGAATGGCATAAGTGAAGTTACGTCAAAAATGTTTATTGCTCAATATACCTCACATCCTCTCCAATTCTAGTAACTCTATGTAATATTGTCGATAGAGTTACAAGAATTGGAGACAATGTGGGTTATATTTATCTGCATCCAAAGACGCATTAAACATTTTTGACGTAACTTCATTTATGCCATTCTTCCATGAGGGTTGCGATATATTAATTTCATTGGTACTTTATGTAGAAATCGGAAATCGAATTGAAAGCGAAATCAGATTAAACAAATCATTCAATTAATTAGTTGATTTGTAGTTGGCAGTAAAAACTCTATGGTCGGGTCAATAACCTGTTTGTTTACCTTTCACGAAGAATAGATTGAAACGAACTATAGGTTGCTTCACGTTTGGTTTCCACTTTCCATTTAACATCAGGTGGAGTAGAATCATCTTGCCTGTCACGTATAAAAAAAAACTTTGAGCGACACTGCAACTGTTATAGCTAGGCGTGGTGCTTACCATCAGGTGTATGACTTGTTCTTACTCCCTTGTTTGATATCATAAAAAATAAACAATGCCTGAGAGCACAGGATCGTGGTGAATTTCACAAAATACGGGAGGCCTATACGCAGTAGTGGGTGAAACAATGTATAGTCAATCTTTATTGCATCAATGTTGTAGTACATAAGTTCTTACGAGCTAGTGGTAGTTCTCAACATTAGCCCTGTAAGCAATGCATCAATAAATGAGATACACAACCATCTTATTGAATAATAAATGAAAATATAGTAGCAGTAGAGGTCCTTGTGAAAGAGTTTGTCCAGGGTAGTACTGCTACCTTACCTATTTCTGCCGCCAAGCAGTAATGCGAGCATTACTGCATTTCGGTACACACACACATGGGACTTGTCAACTTATGTCCTAGGGTGACGGGCGCAGTGGCAGAGCCCCTAAGATCTTTACGATTCAAAGCTCTGCGTGGCACTGCAACTGTTATGAACAGGCGTGTCGCTTACCACCAGGCGCAGGACTTGTTCGTCCTGGTATTATTGAAAAAAAAAATTAGTAAATTTGAAATAAAATGAAACTCCTTATATTCTATGTATGTTCTACTTACTTTCTAAAAATTCTTTAACGTCTTATAGGCATTTTTTTATAAGGAACTTTTTAACTTTTTATAAAATATTACATCGTTTTGTATATTTATATCAGCTGGTATCTTAGACTGCTAACAGATTGACTGTATGTTTGCGATTAATGCATGAAGACGATTACGACTGCAGTTAATACGCGAAGTCGTTATCAACTTCATGCTGCCGAGACTTCGACTGCCTGAAGTTGATAACGACTTTACATATTAAGTGCATGAAATCGATCTCGACTGCATGAAGTCGGTTTGGATTTCATGCTGTTATCAACTTCATGCAGTTGAGGTCTCGGATAACGACTTCACGCATTCATTGCATGAAGTCGAGATCGACTGTATGCAGTCAATCTGTTAGCAGTCTAATTATATTATATTTTTATTGAGTATGTTCCTGAACTAACTAACTGTAATTTGGTTAAAGGTAAAGCCAATTTATTTCTATTTCTTAAACTACGTGTTTGAAAGTTTACAGTTCGACGCAAGCAAGAGTGAGAATCTTCTAGTCTACAACTTGCCTTATTTGTAATATAATATTCACCAATATACGAATGCATCGTTTTTGTAACATGTGTTGTTATGTATTATTATTATTCCCAATTGTAACAAACGTTTGTTTGAACTTGCAGACGGTCCGCAAGAACCTCGTGAGCCAACTGCGCAGCCCGCTGTTCAACGACTTCCTGCCTCAGCTGTACAGCGCGTGGCGCGGCGAGAACCGACTCTTCTCCGACGACGACGGCGCTCCCAACTACGGCAACATCGAATTCGACGGAAACGTCTGCTCGGCTTTCTAGGGGCACCCATAAGCGGGTTCTAGTTTGATTGCAGCCGGAATAGGTACCCCATTCGTGACACTTAATGCTGCAGCATGATGACGAATGGGTTCCTACCCTTACTCGCCTTAATAACGGTGTTAAGTTGTAATATGAAATACATTTCTCGGCATTGTTGATTAATTAATGCATTGATGTATTTCGAATTATTGCTCGTATAACGACATAGTCACGACAGATAGTCGTGTTATGGGAACAGGGGGTCTACTCTCCATCTCCGTCCGAAACAATTACCGCCAAATAAGCAATACTTGACCAAATGAAAAGACGCGTGATGCGACTGAAGCTTCATTCTTGATACTTGTCTTTTAATTTTGTCGAATATTACTTTTTTGACAGTAATTGTTTCGGACGGATGTCCGACGGAGATCGAGAGAAGACCCCCTGACTAGAAGCGACAGTCGCCAACGATAAGTAAAAAGTTACGATATAATGGGAACGCGCTCTTTCTGTTTAACTCATGTAAACCAGCCTTTACAGCTAGTCAAATATTGAAAAAAAAAAATGTCGAAGTTACTCACGCAAAATTACATTCGATCTTTGCAAGTACATAACGTATTTATTACGGTTATACAAAATTGTGCGCGCGCGGAATTCCAGTTGTGTAATTTGCATCTTATTTGTCTACAACTGTAGAAGTGAACAAGTAGTTGATCGTATAGAATTGTTCCTAATTTACTTGTCTAAAAAAGTTCAAAGAAGTAAAAAGACATCTGTATAAATGAGCCTACTAAAAATTACACACTACGTCGCTGGCTGAGCGTTTTGCGCTGTAGGCATTCGACGAGGAGGTCCCGGGTTCGATTCCCGGTAGGACCTATTTGGGAAATGAACTTTTCCAAGTTTGTTCTGGTCAGTTTGTGTCGGGTAGTGCCATGGAGTGAATTTTTTTATGATATGAAGTACGGGATCCTTATCACGTTACACGTTACCCATAATAGGGGTAGAGCCACGTGAGGTGCACTTCCACTGCACCCATTGCGCTAAGACATAACGTTGACAAGTCCCAAGGTTCACCAGCACCCTTACCCTTCAAAACCGGAACACAGTAATGCTGACATTACTGCTTGGCGACAGAAATGAGTAAGGTGGTTGTACTTCACTGGATTGAGCTTTACTGTTGCTAACGTTGCTCTGGTATGGTACCAGGAATTTCCTAGTTTGAGACCAGATATTTGTGTGGTTGTTCTGCACATCATTATTGAGGGCAGGAACAGATCTTACTGTTTGATATTGATGATTCAGATTCACATTCATTACATATCAAAGTATAAGAAATTACATTGAGACGTCAGACAAAATGAAAATTATTAGATAAATACACAATAGTTAGACAATTAACAATTCATTAAATACATACAGTCATTAAAATTACATATCAAATATCATTCTCCATCAAGGATCGTCATAAGTTGATAACAATTATAAAATAGTATGTCAGTGCGGTAAAAATTATAATAAAATAGAACACACTCAATTTCGTTACAATTTTAGGTCCATAAATTAATTTACAGAGTTTAAAGGATTTTTGAAGACAGGTCTTAGGTAAACGATAGAAGTATATCGATGTAAAGTTATGAAGAAAATCTCCAGATGTTCAGGGGCTTTTTTTAGTTGATGTTTTTTTATATAAATAATAGACACACGCTTGGCCTCATCCATATCCACAATTGGATAGTACGCGTTTGCCTAAAAAATGCCAGTTCACTCTAGCCTTGAATAGCCCCAAATTGTACTTTTCGGGAACCACAGGTAGAGTATTCCATTCCTTTGCAAATCACTTAGTGCGAATGAATTAGTGATACACCCGTGCATTAAGGCAAGACTCTTCTAAGCTCAAGCCCCTCTAGTCTTTATATTATTATGTTGTCTGACATAGACACTATGGGCCTAAACAATTTGTCAACTTTCGAACTTTGTTAGGCGAGAATAGGATTTTATTCCAAAAGCTGCATTCAAATTAAAATCTGTCGTGAAATGTTTTTATTATTAGGAAATAATAATTTGTTCTCTTATACTTGTAACCGTCATAGCATTGTGTTATGCTTATCTTAACTACGTGGTTCGATTAAGCTAAGTTTGAATATTTGTTAATTGATTATAGAAACTGTAAAAAAAATATCGGATCTAAAATAGCGTATATTCGTTTTTACCAACAATTCAACATTTTGAACTCTACTCAATTACAATTCTCGTGGTAATGCTGGTTGAAGTGGGATTAGTCATCAAATAGATGTTTAATTTTGTAAATAAAAAACAAGGACGCATTTGACCTCTCATCTCATCTGAAGGAAAGTAACGATGAGGTCGACGATGTGGCAAGCATACCTAAATAATGCTTATTCACTCTCGCCTTGAAAAGGTCCAAGTTATAGCGTTCGGGGAATAAGTCCGCAGAATTTCACTCTCTAGCTGCTCGCCATATAAATGTGGAAGCTAAACGCTGAAAATATCCACAATATAAGGGGGGAACCCCAACACACGTCCCTTTGATGAAAAGGCGGAATCAAATTATGCAAATGTTTGACATTCATGCGATTTTAGACCTGAAAAAATAGTTTATTTCCAATGTATACCAATCGCGAAAACCTAAGTTACTAACTAGGTCATTAACCCTTCAGACATGTATCTTCATTATCCCAAATACGTCCTATTGTTAAGCATGTCCCTACTAAAGAGAAGGGGAAATACAATTCTGTAGGTGAGAAGTAAAGGACCTTAAATCCATATTTTTAAACATTAGAATGCTAAAAATCACGCAATGGTAAAAGACATCAAGTCCTGTCGTCGTTCGTTTTTTTATTTTATGTATTTTATTTGACTTAAAGATTATTTTAAGATTGAATTTAAATGCCTTACTAAGACTATCAGCACAATAGTGGTGTAACCCACATAATATTTTTTCTACAATATTACTTTTAATGTTACTAAAGTGCATAATTATTTTATATTTGGATGCTGTTTACATGTGTAAATAAAAAAAAATGTTGAAATAATACAGGGTTATTTATAAAATAATAACAACTTCACAGGACTATTTTATTAATATCATAAACAACAACTTTTGTTCAATGACTTTACAAAACAATAGTTTTTGTTGTAATATGTTACACTTTTTAGATCTATATTTGGTAGTAAGTTCAAACGTGCAAGCGTCCTCCGCGTCGACTCCCATCTCCGTTCTGCACAGAGTTATTACAGTTTAGAGCGATGTATTTGAATATATTTATTTTTGTATGAAATTAAAATCTGATGAATTCAAGTTCAAGTCTAGGAACAAAAGTTGTTCTTTATGATTATTAGTAATATAATCCTGCGTTGTTAGTATTTTGCAAATCACCGTGTATAATATAAAAATAATTAAAATTAAATGTGGGTGCCACCCCTATTGCACTGACAGCCTCGAAGACTCATTCTCTGTAAAACGCTCTGTAGTAAAAATTACTATTTGGCACTTATGGTTCTTTACACCTCACCCACAGGATTTAATTGGCAAAGCCACCCTAGGTGACTCTTGGCTTCTCAAACAATTACGTAACTGTTGTCTTCGCAATTTCATTGCAAGAGACTTCACTTTATTCAACATACTCTGTTATAATAATAGAAATTGGCTTGTGAAGTAATGTTTTTTTATACTTGGCGCCGAGTATTGATCTAATTTCGATTAGTGCCTTTGAATATCAAGTTTTCTTTTCGTGTTTCGGATTTTGGCAGCCAATATAATCAAAATATATTTACAAAATTCTTATCAAGCATAATAATTTGCACCCTTAATTAAAGTGACTTTTTTTCAGAGTAATTTTTGTGACACTGACAAAATAGATTTTTTAACTTATTTTGTAAGTTTTCAAAATTATAAATACACTCCCGGACACGTAGCTCGAGCCACCTTGCATTATTATCCTT